TACTAGGAAAGGATAATATTGAACTAAGATTACATTTGGCTCTTGAAAATAGTAACCTTATAGCTTAAAAGTCCATCAAAATGATCTGATAAATACCCCGATTTCCATAATATTCATAATGAATTTTATATACCATTGTTTTCCGTGCACTTTTCTCCTCGACGCACTTAATCAACCATTAGAAATCTTCATTAGAACTGGCGTGTCCCCAAAATAAAGAAAAAAAATGTAAAGAAATTAAAGAAAAGTGGGGGAAAAACCTACAGGGGAAATTCAGTTGAAGTAAAAGCCTGACCGAGAGGCATTTTGACTTTGTTTGCTTTGCACTTAAATAATTTAATTGCTTATAAAACAAACAAGTCGCAGTGGTGAACCATTTGAACAAATATTTCATTTAAAATTTTTGTTGTTTGCCGCCGCGGCATTAACTTTATTCATTTCGATCGAACGATCGATCGATCGATTGATTGATTGACTGTTTGATGGACTGATTGACAGCTCGACACTCGTAGCTGTCAAAATTCTTTGGAGGTAACATGGTTATCTCAAACCAAGAAAATCATAATTTTCTTGAATTTTCCCCCTCATTTTTATCATCACTTTTCCTTTCGCCTCGTTAAGTCTCACGTTTTGATGCCGATTCTTGGCTCATCCTTTCGTCTCATTGGATTTTATGATGGCCAGCGTTGAGCTTTAACATTTGCGCTAATTATTTTGCCACAATTAATTAAGGCGCAAAATAAAAATAACATTAAACAAGAGCATCGACGGCGGCAAAAAAAAGAAACAAGCGACGAAATGAGCAAATAAATAAATGTATAGAAAGGCGTATATATACATATAATATATATGTATATATGTATATCAGATAGATGTATAGATAAATGAAAACAGCTTCAGCGGCCTGGCCTGGTCTATATATTTCGCACAGCTATATGCAACCGATCTGCGCTGATCTTTTAACTCAATTAAAAGCGCGTACGAGCGCCAAAATTTTCAAAGGCACTTTTCGCTCTGTCCCTGTATATATATATATATATATATATATATATGTATATATATATATAATATATATATATGTCTATGCTTTGTATCTATATGTCTACAAAAGATACAACAACACAGCACACAAAAAATAGCCGACAATTCGACGCCGCCACTGCTGGTTCTGCGTCATGTGAGTCAGCGTCGTCTGATGCTGGCAGCGGAAAATCTTTTGGTCCATTTTCCTGATGACACATGTATCTATGTATATATGCCTGGCCCCCCATTTGCTCCTTGGTCCTGTTACTGCCTGACTGTAATTAGCACATTGTAGCCAACAGGGAACATAGTTTGTTGTCTTTATGGCGGCACAGGTCACAAAAGTGTCAGTTAAAACAAAATACATTTAAGACTTTAAGGCAATTAACAATGTTTAGTTTTTAGAACAAAATACTACGGATGATCAGGGATCAATTAAGCAGGTTGTGTGATTTTTTTCACTAGATAATCGAAGGGTATTACAAAGTCCTCAGAAATTATCCGGCTTGAAGGACTAAAGATGTATTGAAATATAAGCTAGGCATTTGTTTCATTTTAAATATATATTTTTTCCAGTTGTTAAATATATATTTTTTTATTTGTTTAATTAAAAACAAACACAAAGTAAAGGCAAACAAATTATATAGTTTATTAAATTCCTTTTAAATCTAAGATTTCCTTCAAAACACTCTTCGTTTTTGGCCACTTTTGTAGCCTGTCAACTTGGCCAATGGGGTTGCAACGTGGATGGATGTGTGTGTGTGTGTGTGTGGTGTGGCTTGGTTTTTCATTATTTTTAACATTTGTTTGCTAATGATTCGTATGCCGCAGACACTTTCGAGCACGGAAAACCACAAAAAACAGTTGTTGCACTTTTCTTTTCCTCGCTCTCTGTGAGTCAATGCACTGCAACAAAATATATACATACATAAGTGGGGGAAAATTCGAGACGGCACTATGCACTGACTTTGCCTCCTCACATATGCTATTATTGCAAATATTTCGAATATTTTTCAAATATTTTTCAAATATTTTGCACATTTCACTGACTACCGGACAGCCTCTGTTTTCATTCGGGCTTGTCCATCAATTCCAAATCGAATCCCAATTGCAAAAATACAAAAATAATAAAAATAACAAAATCCATTGCACACACATTGAAAAACCGAACCAAAATTGGCCGCACTTTGTATTTTTTCGCGGTCATACATCAAATGTCTAGACAAATTGTGGCAAACACAATAATAATAATAACAGCTGAGGTTCAAAACAGGAAGTGGAGTGTCAGGAGAGCGAGATAGCGTCCAAGATGTATTTATATATGTAATTATATATATGAAGAATCGTTTGTGGGTGTTTTTTTTGCACCATTACTTTATAATTTCCCCAATTTCTTTTGGTATTTTTACTATTTTTTTCACCAAAGCCCTTGGAGATACTTCCATTATCAAAAAATACCTTGAATTTGTGACCTTAACAATTAAATATAAAAATGGTACAAATATATTAACAAATTATATTATATATTATTATAATATTATTTGATTATAAATCCATAAGAAAGTCTTCTAACTAATTTCCCATGATTGCCTTTAAAATATTAACTTAAAATTAAAAATAAAACACCTTAAAATGTATTTAAGCTTGGCATTAAATGAAATTAAATTGAAATTTCCATTTAATTCATTTGATTGTTATGCGAGACACTTTCTGTGAAATGTGTGACACGCCGTGGAAGATCAAGACTTGCAATATGATTAATGATCCCAGCAGCCTCCTCCTCTATGGGGGCTGAGGATTATCGCTCTATATAGCTTATATCTGCTCCGATCCGATCTCTCTTCTAGCAGCATGTTATGTGTGTGTTTGTTGTGCGAGTATTTAAATTGTTTCGCACGCAAATAAAGCTGGCGCCAATGACGAGCAGCAGCAGCAACAACAAATTGATAAACGTCGCGCGTCGTTAGCGCCACTTATCACGTATACGCCATGGCGCCGTCAACAGGTCCGGCGGATTCAGTGGATTCAGTGGATACGTTTTTGTGGATTCTCTTGAGATTCGCTTGGTTTGGGTTTCGCCAGTAACTTTGCTCTCGATCGCCGTAAATTTTGAGGCCATCACGTGTATTTAGCTAATTACTCGTAGTTTATAGCCTCTGCCTCGAGTCTCTATTTCTTTTTATATTATTTTCCTTCTTTTTTTTATACCGAAAACAAATGTGATTATCAGGGCAGCATGATATGGCTTGGCCAAGATATGGGAATTGTGAATGATGTGTGCGATAACCGCGGGGGAGCCACATACAGAACGGCAACAGGTGTCAACTGGGGCGGGTTTAGAGATACACGCAGCGAAAAGTCAAGTAAATAACTTGAATAAAAATGAATTTTTATTTTATAATAATTATTCAGAATTTGGAATTGTTATATATATTTATTACAATTGTTTTTGCCTTTTAAAAGGTTTGTAAAACAACTTAAAGTTGTTCAACCTTTTTCCTGCGTTTTCCTCGCGTTTTCTTGGCTGCGTTCTTGACGCGTTTCCCTGGCGTTTTCGGCGCGTGTTGGCCGCGTTTCCGCTCGCCGCTCGTCGCCTTTTTGTTTAATTTAATTAAATATCATTGCCAGACGACAACAACTACGAGAAGCTACCAATTTTGGGCCTTTGCCTGCCTGATTTGATTTGTTTTTATCGTTTTCTCTGCTAGCTGCCAGTTGCTAGTTGCCAGCTTTTGTTGTCGGCATTTTGTATCTTTTTTGTTTCGTTTACATTTTTTATGAGTGGCGCCAAAAGTTTTAGCATAATTTTGCCGAGAGACACATGTGTGTGTGTGTGTGTGTGTGTGTTTGTTTGTCGGTATTTTTAAATATATTAATAATTTAACGCGTCGAATTGGCCGATTTGCATACGATTTTGTGGCATTTTGTGCAAAGTTTTAATAGAGTCGAAGTCGAAAACCAAATCGATATCAAAATTGAAAACCCAAAAAAAAAAAAACACTAACACAAAAAGCTGCTAATGAAATTTCATCTCTAATCTAAATTGGATGCTGCAGATCTATGTTTTTTTCCCCCGATTATTCCCACAATTTGACACTTGTTGGCGCCCCATTGAGAGGCTGCTTCTGCTTAGATACACTGAAAACAAACTACTTGATTTATCATAAAACGTTGCTTGATTTTTATAGATTTTTTTTCAATACCAAATTTATCTTTTTTCCGGTGTACCGACTTGCATTTGTAATTGAAAACGCTGCCGGAAGCGACTCAACGCCTCTCAGCGAATGTGGCGCCAGGTTTTTTCTTCTTTCTCTATGTCTCTCTATATATATATTTTTTTTTTATTTTTCTACCGATACCGATTCCGATTCTGATTCGAATTCTGATTGCATGGCGTTCGCCCACCCGAAATCGAGGCGAAACCCAATGCGAAAAAAACGTGAAAATGACAGACTGCTTGCATTTTCCAGCTGGGAGCCTCTCTTTTTTTTCGATTGAAGTTAATTAGTCGCTGATCGATTGGCTTTGGTACGGGTTTGGGTCTGGGTTTGGGTTTTGGGATCTCGCCTGTGGGCGTCTCAGTCGCTTATGGCTTTTCATTATTATTATTAACCTCGCTCTGGCTCATCGCCGCTGATATATAGGCATCGCTATAGCTATATACATATATACACCTCCATATATATATATACATGTATATATGGGCAATTGCATTGCTGACTGGCGCCAGCAACCTGAACAAAAAATTTAACGGGAAAAAGGAAAAATAAAATGGCAAAAATTGGAAATCAACATTCGAGAGTTCACACAGATCTTAAATGGGAATTGAAAAAGCCCAAGGGAATGGGAGTGGGACTTTGGCTTTAATCTATTTTATTTTTAATTTAATTTAATTTTTAATTTTGATTTAATTTTTAATTTTAATTTTATTAATTTATTTATATTTATTATTTTTTGTATATTTTCCTTACTTTTAGTCACCGAATGTCAATTTGGCAAGGTTCTGCGTGAATTGGGCTCGACCTGGTATGCGGATTTGGGTCCACCCTTTGGCGTTATGTACTGCATTAAGTGCGAATGCGTGGCGGTAAGTCAACTATATCTATTTTACTATATTTTTAATTTAAATATAAATTTTAATTATAATTTTAAGCTTAAGACTACCAAAAAATCTACCTGAAAACTTACAAAAAAAAAAAAACTCACTTTATAAAAACCCCCGCCGATTGGCAAGTTTGAAAGATACACCTCAGATGCAAAATAGCCAACAAATTCCAACTGATGGGCGGCGTCGGGCAGACACCAAGCAAAAATTGACTAATGACCGTCGACACTGGGTACACGAGGAAAAACCAAATAGAAAATGCTGAAAAATGCTAAAAGACGTCGGCAAATGAAAATGATTGTGTTTTCAGTTTGGACGCGCTTAATTTATGGCATTTCCACGCATGATTAATATCGATTTGAAAGCTTTATGCTCCCCTATGCGATATATTGCGAATCAGAGCCAAATATTCTCTAGCCTTGCCCAGACTTTGGCTGAAATTGAAAAACAAAATCGTGGCGGTTCGATCGAATTACGCAAAAAAAAAAAACAAAAACAAAAAGGAAAATACATACAAACATGTTGCAGTGCCAAGAAACAGGGGGCGTGGCGAGGGCAAGACCATTTTCCCACCGAAAGCGACACATAAAAATGTCACACACTCGTCGTTGACGGTGTCCTCGGCGAGTTAAAAAACATAGCACCCCACATACATATGTATATATGTATATACATAGGGAATCCAAATCCAACTCTGAATTCGAGCCCAGCGGACAAGAACGTTCGTTTATGATATTGAAAACGATAGTTTTGCTGGTTTCAAGCGGACAAAACGTTCGATTCAGGCTCATAAACGATAATAAAGTGGCAGAAAATGCTATAGTTTTTTGGATCCGAATAAGATCCATCCGCAATGTCTGCTGGGAATCGGTATCGGTATCGACTGTTTGGGGATATCGGAAAATTGCTTGACAAAAATTAATTGCTTGCCTTGTTGTTGCTAGTCTGCGCTGGACCAGACGCATCCCTCACTTTCTATATAGATATTACTCGGGTATACTCGCATTTTGCTTTAATTTTTAATGTGCATTGCATAAAAGTCAGCTTTGAAATTAATTAAGTATAATTTATGTCGCCTGCAAGCGTCGCAAATGAGCACATCATAAAATTATTTAAAACATGTTGCTGCTGTTGAACTTTAAGCACAGTGGCGGCGGCGGCGGCGGCGGCAACCAGCGCGCTGGCGACCAATAAAAATTAATAATAAAAAAACGCTGAGAGAAACATCAAAAAGACAAACAGTAGAGTGGCGGCACAAAAAGAAAATATAAATAAAAATAATTATAAAAAAGATAATACAGAGGGCATTCTATATTTATATAAAGCCCAATATTGGGCCAGTTTCGGTTGCTAACAAGGCGCATAAATCAGGGAAACTGTCTTGCTTATTATTAATTTAATTAATTAATTTGTATTTATATACCAAGTTCTGTTTATTATTTTCGGTTGTTTATTATACTATATATTTTGTTATGTTTATTATTTTTTAGATACCCAAGAAGCGCCGCATCGTTGCACGCGTCCAGTGTCGCAATATCAAGAACGAGTGTCCGCCAGCGAAATGCGATGATCCCATCTCCCTGCCTGGAAAATGCTGCAAGACCTGTCCCGGCGATCGGAACGGTAAGTCCACTTTATATAGTAAAACTACATATAAATATGAGCCAACAAATGCTTCAAAAACAAACGAATATTTAAGCCATTTTTTAAACTTGAAAGGAAAAGTATCTTATAGATACTTGAAGTTTATCCCCTGATTTCACAGATTTCATCTCCCACTCTCCTCACCCTCTTGTATATTTTCGTAAATTCCTATTTATTTTCGAATCAGCACCCATAATTTCCGCCTAATGTTTCAATATTTTGACGCCGCCAATGGTTTGGCTAATATAAATCGGGATTAGGCACCAATATCGCCTAGCTATATCTTGTCTTGTGAATAATTAAGCGTAACAGCGATGCCAGCTGCACGATCTATATAATACCAACCCCCCCAGATAGTATATATTCCACGGACTTGGCCGAAACGCGTAAATTGTTTATGAAAAATTACTTGGCCCGAAATGAAGGTCAGCGCTACGCAATTTATATTTCGTTTTTATGTCTCAGAGTCTGATGATTCCTACAATATACATATATATATATATATTCCCTGGTCCACTACTTCGGATAATGGTGTGTTTCGGCGACTTTTGCATTTATTTATTGTGCCTTGCTCTCTCTCTCTCTCTCTCTCCCTCTCCCTCTCTCTGTTGTATTTTTTGCCTCGTGTTTTACGTGTGTTTTTGTTTTATTTTCAATCTATTTTATATCGCCCAAACGGCGCCTGAAGTTGTTTCTGTTTCTCGGTTTCTGAGGGCAATATTATCGGAACAGGCAGAGAGTATTTCAAGTATGCGCCCAAGCACTTTGCCGGGGTCCCCATTGGGGGCGCACGTGCCGGCTAATAGACCAATTACCAAAGAATCAGCTATATATATGAATAATATATAATATTATAATATATAATCTGGGGATTTTTGGATAATTTTCTGCCAGGGAGAGAGAGAAAGAGATTTCTCTGTGACATTTTTCACATAATCAGACCAAGTGCTGCCTGGATTCCAGTCTCGCGTTGCATGTGTTGCTGTGTGGCAAACTGGAAACTGGTTGCAAACGGGAATGGGCAGCAGCGGCTTTAAGGGGTTAAAGGGGTACATGGCTGCAGCACATCATTAGTTTCCGTTTTGCGGCAATTTTTCATTTTGCTTATGCAAAGAGCCGTTGACCCGCGGACCTTACTTCCAACCCAAAAAAAAAATACAAAAAAAAAACAATTTCACTTTTCCCCTCTCCGAAAATTTCCTTCTCTTTTTTATATATAAATATTTTTTTATTTTTTTGGTTGCTTGTTTTTTTTTTTTTGCACAAAACTCCCAACTCGTTTGCCATAAATAGTTAGAAGGCACGGGCGCGGCTTTTCCAGCGAGACTCTGAGACTCTTTGGCTCTCACGCAGTCAGCCGCCATCTCGGCCATCTCAGCTAGCCATCCCAGCTAGCCATCTCAGCCGGGCCGAGGCTATTGTACAAATATTTCGCAGCAACAAAGCCAAACGGCAACAGGCAACACAGGCCATAGCCTGGCAACGATCGCTTCCAAAGTTATTTTTTGCCTAACTTGGTTTTTTGCCTCATAGTCCGCATATTATGGCTGCACTGGCAGACAATTTTGATACTAAATATCACATTCCTAAGACACTTGAAGTTTTTAGTTATAAACTATAAAAAAAGCATTTAAAGTTGCTGGGTTTCTTAGAGAACTTTTGAATCTTTTAAAATGTATAGTTCCTTTTTTGAAAATTAAAATGTAGGGGAACATTTTTGATCTGAAATTCTTCGAAAAATATTACAAAATTAGAAAATAGATAAGGTTTTAATTTCTTTGAAATTTCCTTGCTTAAAATTCATAAACATTTTATATATAAAATAGCCTTTGGTTGGTAAAAACATTTTTATTTTTAAATATATATTATAAATTTAAAATATATACATTTATATTTTATATATATTTTTAATAGATTTTATTATATAGATGTGAAATTTAATTTTAATTTAATTTTTTTTTATAATTTAAATTAAAAGTTTTTGCAACTGAATATTAATTTCCTCTTTAAACTCACATTTCTTAAAATATTCTCTGGTAGTTAAAGGATATATAAAATAAGTTAATATATATAAAAACATAACTCCTCTCCCTGTTGTCTGTCTATGCCCAGTCTCCACTGTGTTTTCAAGCCCAGGTCCTGGGCAAGTTGTCAGGCTGCCCCGATGCTCTCGCCGCTCGAAGCTCGAAGCCCATGACATGGCCATACATATAATCAACATCAACAATTGCCTCTGCCTTCGTTAAATGTCCATTTTGGGATCTCGCATCTTTTGGCTGCTGCTCCTCCAGCCTCCAGCTTCCAGCGATCGATTCCGATCGATGCTACCCCCTTCTCCCGACAACACCGGACTCTTCCCGCCCGCGTTTGCCATTAATTTATGCGCGGGCATTACTTTTTTGTTCGTTCATTTTTATAATGACATAACTCGAGCATTTTAACGCTTATTAAATTATCTCATTTGCCGCCACAAACGGCGGGCGGTCCCTATTTTACCAAAACGGGCTCAGGGCCCATATCCCCTCAGGTAGACAATAAAACGTAATGTTTTAGAGAGAGAAAGAGAGAGAGCGTCGAACCAAGAGTTGACAATTCAACTTGATGACATCTTTTGGTCAAGAGTCCATCCCTTTTTCGATACCTTACCTTACCTTAGCCCTACCCTTTCCCTTGCCCGTTTCGGATTCCAATCTCAATCTGGATCTCGATTCCCAGCAGCAACTTTGTGGTGGCCACAAAAGGATTGCATGGGATCGGTATCGGGATTGGTATCGGGGCCAAATTCATTTTTATGGCCAGGCGTGAGCTGCGCCATCGAACAATAAAATCTTCGACTTTATCTTTATCTATATCGTTATCTTTATCGGTTCTGGATCGGCAGCGGCAACGGAACTGTCTATTATGTTCCCACTCTCCAGTTTTTATTTCTCTTCACTCTGTGTGTGTGTGTTTTTTTTTCTCAACCTTAAGTGGAGATTGTGGCCCGCGATAAGGCTGAGAAATAGAGCTAACAAGGCGTCCGGTCTTTGGCCAAATCGAATCGTAGATTAAACAGGGGGCAGAGGAAGAGGGAGTACCTGAAGCCCCCAAAGACCCCTTGGACTCCTTCTAGTCTTCAGGCTTCTTATTAACCCGAATTGGCAACCTCTCCCAAAAGCTCCTTAATCTCTCTCATCTATTGGCTAGAGAGAGAGTAGCTATCATAATTGTAGGGTCATTATAGTGGCCCGATCGGGTTGGTTCAGGTAGGATCACGGCTAATAAAGTGGTGATCATGGTTGATTATGGTTGCTAAGTTCGATTTTTAATAGTCACAGGTTTCAGGGAAAAGCATTTAACTCCGATATGAAGCCAAGATCTGATCTTAAGACTAATCTATTGATACTCCCTTTCCTGATCTCTGCTGATCTGTTTCAATCTGTTGTGTTCTTTTTTTTCTCTCTTCGTTTGTATATTTTTTTCTGATTTTTTTTGTTAATGAGCTGCCGCCGAGATTCTTTTTGGGGCCGACCCCACATACCAAAGCGTTGACTCAATGCCAAGGTGTCGTTTGTCTTTCGGTCTTTCTGGCTTTCTGGCTTTGTCGGCTTCGGGTTTCCCCCTCCTCCTTAGCATTTCCCTCTCCATAGCCGGTGTCCAGCCGTTACCCATTCCTCGTGCGGCAACGTGTCGTCGTCTTTGTGCTCACCAAAACTCATTTATCTTGGCTTACAGCAGAGCTACAAAAAAAAACCCTAAAAAAAAAAGAAGAACGAAAATTTCATTCATCTGCAAATGCGATTCAAGGGCAGCCAACGAGGCCCAGAGAAGACACCAATAAGCCCCAAGAATGTAGAGTCCACAAATTGAAAAGCAAGGAAGAATGAGGCTCAGGCTGAAGCCGAAGCTGAAGCTGAAAGTGAGGCTCAGGGCTCAGAGACTGAGAATGAGGCAAAGGTAAAGCCAGAACTGGCTGGCCAAGTGGCTCGTATTAAGATCAGGCGATAAGATCGGACAGCAGAAGCCACAGAGGCAGTCCAGACCCAAGACCTGGACCTGGACCTCAGCCAGAGTCTGAGCCTGAACCTGGAGCCGCGTCTTGGGCTCTCAATAAAATGCTATACAAGGTGTCAGATTTGTCGCCCTTCATTATGCGATACCCCGCTCTTTTCCTTTTTTTTTTGTAGTATTTTTACGTTTATTTTTATTTCTGCGGCTTAGGAGTTTTTTTCGAGAAGAGAAGGATAGCCATAGCATAAAATAATCGAAATGCCATCGACAGAGACGACAGAGAGGGAGCAGCAGCAGCAGACAGAGAAGAATCTGTGAAGGGTCTCTGAAGACTGGGCTTTAATCAGCTTTTGTCGGTCTTCTAAGAGGAGGCTGCCCATGGTAATGGTGATTTATGTTTGCTCTCCCAGCCCGGGTGTCAATCAGCGGGACAGCGGAAATGTGTCCACCTACTTTCACGCCAAAGGTTCGTGTCATGTGGATTCCGGGAACTCCTCCTAAGCAGCACTTCCCCTAGCTGATTCTCCTCTACCTGCGCCCTCAATTTATGCACGATTAATGAATGCCACCTGGGCTCTGGGTACGGGTCCAGAGACTCCTACCTGGCTAGGCCTGCCATTCATGATCTTCATGATCCCCTGGCATCCGCCCTTCCGCCCGCCATTCACCTTCTCATTCAATCGAATAGCTCAATGGGTGAGGGAACACACCGGCTGCTTTGAAGCGTTTGTTGCGTTTGTTGGCAATATCTAAATTCCATTTAAGGTCGAACGAAGGCTTATCGCCCAGCATCTCACCCTTGTATTCTCTTTTTCCCTTTGATATCTTGCAGATACGGATGTTGCCTTGGATGTGCCAGTGCCCAACGAGGAGGAAGAGCGCAACATGAAACGTAAGTACAAAGCCCCTACTACTAAATACCAGGAAACCCCTAAAAACAAACCCTCGAGATACTCCCAAAGATACATATAATTAAGATATTGTATCTAGAAAATATTAAAAAATTAATTAAAAGTTAATTCCTTGATTGGAACTGTCTTGAGAGACAAGATTTTAATTTTCAATCTTGATTAGACTATGCAGATTTGCAAGTATCTACTAGATACAAGTATCTCCTAGATATCCCCTTACAACACATGAACCATTTAACACATGAACCTAACCCATCTATTAACCCTTTTTACAGATTACGCTGCGCTACTCACGGGCCGCACTTCCTACTTCCTCAAGGGCGAGGAAATGAAGTCCATGTACACCACCTACAATCCACAGAATGTGGTGGCCACCGCTCGCTTTTTGTTCCACAAGAAAAACCTTTACTACTCCTTCTACACCTCGTCGCGCATCGGTCGCCCTCGGGCCATCCAGTTCGTGGACGATGCCGGCGTTATCCTGGAAGAACATCAGCTAGAGACCACCCTGGCGGGCACCTTAAGTGTCTATCAAAATGCCACTGGTAAGATTTGCGGCGTCTGGCGGCGAGTGCCAAGGGATTACAAGCGCATCCTTCGCGACGATCGCCTCCATGTGGTCCTCCTGTGGGGCAACAAGCATCAGGCAGAATTGGCCCTCGCCGGCAAGGTGGCCAAGTATACGGCATTGCAGACAGAGCTCTTTAGTTCGCTGCTGGAACCACCACAGACCATCAATGGCAGGGCTGATCCCCAGCTGGCGGGAGCCGGTGGCACGGCCATTGTGTCCACTAGCAGTGGAGCAGCCTCCTCCATGCACTTGACCCTGGTCTTTAATGGTGTCTTTGGGGCCGAGGAGTTCGCCGATGCCGCTCTGAGTGTTAGGATCGAGCTGCCGGAACGCAAGGAGCTGGTCTTTGATGAGATTCCCAGGGTGCGCAAACCCTCCGCCGAAATCAATGTCCTGGAGCTATCGTCGCCCATTTCCATACAGAATCTGCGGCTCATGTCGAGGGGCAAACTCCTGCTGACCGTTGAGTCTAAGAAGTATCCTCAGCTCCGCATCCAGGGCCATATTGTGACTCGGGCGAGCTGCGAGATCTTCCAGACTCTGTTGGCTCCCCACAGCGATTCGGCGACCAAGAGCAGCGGCCTGGCCTGGGTCTATCTGAACACGGACGGCTCTTTGGCCTACAACATCGAGACGGAGCATGTGAACACCCGGGACAGGCCGAACATCAGCCTGATCGAGGAGCAGGGCAAACGAAAGGCCAAGCTGGAGGACCTCACCCCAAGCTTCAACTTTAACCAGGCTATCGGCAGTGTGGAGAAGCTTGGACCGAAGGTTCTAGAGTCCCTCTATGCCGGCGAACTTGGCGTTAATGTGGCCACCGAACATGAGACCAGTCTGATCCGCGGTCGCCTTGTGCCCCGTCCGGTGGCCGATGCCCGTGACTCCGCCGAACCCATTCTCTTGAAGCGGCAGGAGCACTCAGACTCGAACCAACAGAATCCACATGCCGTCGGCATGGCTTGGATGTCCATTGATAACGAATGCAACCTACACTATGAGGTAACCCTCAACGGTGTGGCCGCCCAGGATCTGCAACTGTATCTGGAGGAGAAGCCCATCGAGGCCATTGGGGCGCCGGTGACGCGAAAATTGCTGGAGGAATTCAATGGCAACTATCTGGAGGGCTTCTTCCTCAGCATGCCCTCGGCGGAACTGATTAAGTTGGAGATTAGCGTCTGCTATCTGGAGGTCCACTCGAAGCACACCAAGCAGCTCCTGCTCCGTGGCAAGCTGAAGAGCACCAAGGTGCCCAATCACTGCTTCCCCGTTTACACGGACAACAATGTCCCAGTGCCGGGGGATCACAATGACAACCATATGGTGACCGGGGAGACCAAGTGTTTCCACTCAGGACGTTTCTACAACGAATCGGAGCAGTGGAGGAGTGCCCAGGACCAGTGCCAGATGTGCGCCTGCCTCCGCGGCCAGTCCAGCTGCGAGGTAATCAAGTGTCCGGCCCTCAAATGCAAATCCGCAACGGAGCAGCTCCTCCAGCGTGAGGGTGAGTGCTGTCCCAGCTGTGTGCCCAAAAGGGAGGTGACTGCTATTGGCTCCGGATCTTCCTCGGCCTCTTCCTCCTCTGTCATCGTTGGCGATAGTTCGCCGGCCACCAATGCCACGGATCTGCTGCAGCAACGACGGGGTTGCCGGCTGGGCGAACAGTTCCATCCCGCTGGCGCCAGCTGGCATCCCTTCCTGCCACCGAATGGCTTTGATACCTGCACCACCTGCAGTTGTGATCCTTTGACCCTGGAGATTCGCTGTCCGCGTCTCGTATGTCCGCCACTGCAGTGCAGCGAAAAGCTGGCATATCGGCCCGACAAGAAGGCCTGCTGCAAGGTCTGTCCCGAGGGCAAGCAGAGCAGCTCCGGCGGCCACAAGACGACTCCGAACAATCCGAATGTGCTGCAGGATCAGGCCATGCAGCGATCGCCCAGCCACACGGCCGAGGAGGTCCTGGCCAACGGCGGCTGCAAGGTGGTCAACAAGGTGTACGAGAACGGCCAGGAGTGGCACCCGATCCTCATGTCCCACGGCGAGCAGAAGTGCATCAAGTGCCGCTGCAAGGTGAGTGTCAAGATTCAATATTTAATACGCCTTCTTTATATCACTTGATCGATTAATTTCCCTTGGAGATCCGTCTCTAATCTCTCCATCGGATTAATCGATTCAATTCTTTTTACAAATTTCGATAAATGATCCTTTTTTTTATATATTAACTAATGAAAATTTTCCGTTCTTCTTATTTTCAAAGGACTCCAAGGTAAACTGTGACCGCAAGCGCTGCTCCCGCTCCACATGCCAGCAGCAACAGCAGCAGACGAGGGTCTCCAGCAAGCGGCGATTGTTTGAGAAACCGGACGCAGCTGCTCCGGCGCTGGACGAGTGCTGCTCGACGCAATGCCGGCGCTCCCGGCGTCACCACAAGCGTCAGCCTCACCATCAGCAGCAGCGCTCCGCCGGCGCCAGCAGCAGCTGAGCAGCTCGAAAGGATCGGGATCCTGGGAGCTGGGATCCAAAGCCACCCATAGAACGTCATTGTTGTCCGTCACATGGCTAGGGGCAGCAATGGAAACTTGTATTATATATATGAAGGCAGAAATGGGAATCCAGAGAAATAGAGAGAGCGAGATAGAGAGCAAAGAGGGAGATATCAAGAGAGGGAGAAAGAGAGAGAGAGAGAGAGAGAGTAGTGATCCTGAGAAAGGAGCTTAAAACCAGTGCAGTTTGCTTTAAATTCTCCAGCGTAGAATTTTTCTATTGAAAGCATTTTCTGAATTTCTTTTCCCGTAACTACCCCCCACCCACCACAAAACGAACATTAAAATTAAATTTTAATTTATTTAAAAAAAATACAAAAAATTAAAAAAAAAAACAACAAAACCAAAAAAAATCACACACACACAAAAGAATTCGAAATTAAAACTGTACTGAGTTTTAAAAAAACACAAAACATTTGACTTATTGAAAATACTTAAAGGAAGGCAGGATATAGAAAACATAAAGAAAAACAAAAACTAAAAAAAAAAAACACGAAATTTCAATTCATTTAAATTCAAATTTAAATTGCAATTTGAAAGCAAAGAAAGCGAGAAAAGCAGAAAAGCAGTTAGCAATTAGCAGATAGCAATTAGAGATGAGAGCTAATCGATAATCGGCTATCGCGTGGGAATATTATCTTAAATCTAATTATTCTGATTATACATACAGACATATATACAATATTTTTTTATATATACATATATATACACGCATATATATCTATATAATTTATGAGAAACAAAACACAGTGGGAAACGCATTTGGCGCACGGTTGCATGTCTCTGTGCCTATCGACATTTGTATCGATAGACAGCCCAAAACGTTTCAACTGATTGACTGAATGGAAAAATAAATGTAGTTTTAAACAAAATACTTATGTTTTCTTCGCGAAAGAAAAAAAGCGGAAAGCAAATGAAGGAAATTGAAAACGCAGCTTTTCAATGTGAAATTATTTTTTACTAATTGTTACTCACACACATTACACATACACACACACATACGCACACACATTATAAGATTGTTTATATTTTATAAATTAACAAAAAAATGAAATACATTTTACGAACCATTTTCAATAATTATTGTACAAAATTTGTTAGAGAAAACTATTTCAAAAAATGCCATGTACACATATTTATACACACCCAAAAATCACACACACACGCACACACACACAAGAAGCAAAAATTTACCGCATACACAGAAAGAAATTGTATTAATTTTTTATTCTATTAAATTATTCTTATTATTATTATTTTATGTTTATTATTATTATGATGACTTTTTTTTTGTAGCTTATATAAACATTTATATATATACATATTCTATATTTAATAATTGATTGATTAATTTTAAATAATTGATTAATTGCAAACAAAAATATTTAAAACAATGAAGAGCTAAAAACAACTTGTACTAATAACTTAAATTTAGTGTTTATAAATTTAAAAAAATCAAGAAACTTTAAATCAAAAACAACAACAACAACAACACACACACACAGAGAATAAACAAAACTACAAAATCATAAAGAAAACAAGTTTTTTAATTTGTACTTAATATTTTTTAGGAAATATATCTGGTTATGGAAGGGTATACAAACTTCGGCGTGCCGAAGTTAGCTTCCTTTCTTGTTGATATTATTATTGATTTTGCAGTCGAAAAAAAATGGTTAAATGCGCAAAATGGTAAGAATAGCTGAAAACAAAAGAAAAACCAAAACAAAACAAGGCAAGGCAAAGCGAATCCGAGCTGGGGGTAAAAAAAGAAGCACAAATACAAAAGAGTGAATCAAAATATAGACGAAATATATTCAAAACATATACATATATATGTATATATAATATGTATACAGAATAACAATCAAAAGCTGCTCGTTTTACTGATCTCTGGTGGTGGGCCATCCTCCTTTTTCTTTTTTCCCCCGACTTGTTCCTATTAGGCAACTCAATTTTCGAAATAGCCATTTGCCACTCAGACAATTATACCTATAAATTATATTATAGAGCAATTATACCTCGGCTTTTATAACCGACACACCAAATTATCTAAATGGATTTTATGGCCCAGAATGATGATTGCCAAATGCCTTATTTCGGTTCCATCACCGGCGAGATTGAGAGTTCCTCTAGTATTTGATTAAAAATGTTGTGAAAATGAGTAAACATAACTTGGCAGACACAAGTTCTTCAACTCTTTCAGCACCTTATAAATGAAAAGAGTCTTAACTGGGGACCATGATGGGAAATATCAAAATTAAAACATACCTAGATCAGGAATCTAGTAATTCAATTAAATTTAGTTTTAAAAGGTTTGCAACGTGAAGGAGTCATTTCTGACCATATATTCTTTATCAGCATCAAAAGTCGAATCGTTTTAGCCATGTCCAAAGAAAAATACATTTGTCTTTTTTTTTAAGATTTAAGTTTTTAAGTTTTTTTAATTTTAAAAATTTTAAATAATGTATGCAGATTTATTAACTTCACAAAACAGTTTTCCGATTCCAAATGAATGCATTTTTGATCGAGTTTTATTTTTAAATGGGTTTCTCTTATGAAAAAAAATTAAGCTAATTTTAACAAGATTTTTAATATAAAAAATCGGACCCCATAAATTATATACATTTTGGACCAGCATCAACACCCGAATTGTTTTAGCCAAGCACAGAGGGAACAAATTGTTTGGCGCCTTTCTTTTGTAAATTTAATAAAAAATCGTTAAAATTATAAAAAATTGATTAAAAAAATATACAATTTGTAATAATCTATAATTTGGTGTGCAAATATGTTTATCTTATAAAAACTAGCACAGAAATCCCTAATAAAAATAAATGATTTTTCGGCTTAGTTTAAAAAATTAAGAAATTTAGGTTCAGCCAATAAAATTATCATATAAAAATACAGATTTAAGGAACCTATATTTATATATTTTTAAGAGACAATATTAAGGTAATTGCGATTATTTTGCGACACAGTTTCCGGTGCCTTTTTTAAAAACAAATCATTGCTTAGAACCTCTCATATATATTTCCCGTCTAAATAAGATGCGTGATAAATGCGTTGTGTGAGTAATTCTTGAATTACTTTCCCCTTAATTAGCCTCCATCCTCCAGCTTTTTTTCTTAGACCATTTCCGATGCCCACTCCTTCGATTTTCGAAGAAAGAAATTAAACAAAAGACCTCAAGGAAATCGCCATCGCAACAACAAAATTTACCCCCGAATGCGTAATGGATAAATGGGTGAGTGGAACCTGGAGAGGCTGAGTGGGCGGTGGCCGTGGAGGGGCGATCATTTAAGAGTGATTAAGGGTGAAACGGCATTTTCCATTGATTAATTAACACAGCAACACCAGCGTCAACGTCACTCGATGCCGATCGACTAATTAAGGGTGCAGTTGCGGTGAGTGCATTGAAACAAAAATAAGTGCATAAGCAATTTTATTAAATAATTAAAGCCTTCTTAAACTAAATACTGTTTTTCCAGTTATTTTATGTGTATCAAAAATTAAATTTTTATTTTTTTTTTAAGGTATATATTTTTCTATTTGAGTTTAATGACTTTTTCTGTATATTTTATATTTTTTTAAACCTTTTTCTCTGTGTAAAAACTGTCACTGGCAAAGGAAGCTGGCGACACCGCGTCTGTTTCTGGTGAAATGCAACGCTGGATAATGGATATAGACGAGTTAGATGAAACATATTGTAGTGCCAGGCCAATTTCCCCCATTGCCAACAATTCAAAGCCGTTGATTCACATTCATTGTCGCGTTTATTAGGTCATTCATGCGATCGATTTCACTGATGATGATAATGATGTCACCCCAGCAGCTCTGGATGAGATGCGAGACGATTCCTTCCCACAATTTCCACAAGATATGTGACAAAGAGACTCTTTTAAGTATTTAATATTATTCTAATAAATTATAATTCCTTAAATTTGGCTCATAACTACCTTAATATAACATTTAAAACGCTTTTAACTATAATTAAGGTCCCGAAATCATTGAAAAAACAAACCATTTTTGGGGTTTTTCCTTATACTAGGTTAGTTTTGGCAAAATTTAGCTAAATTATTGAATTAAAAATTAAAACCAAATAAATTAAAAGTAAATAAATTAAAAATAAAATATATAAGAAACTATTTCTTAAATTGTAAAAAAATGTTTATTTAAAAAAAAATCTTTCACAAATAAAAAAAAACAAATATGAGAAAGTATTTTCTTTATTTTACTTGCTATTTTTCATTGACTTGCTTAACGCCCTCCAGCGTAAATTAACAAAACTAAAGAATAATTAAGTAATAATTTAGACAGAGCCACCTAGCGTGTAAAATAATTCTTTTGACATTTGTAGGTAGATTTTTAGCTACACAGCTAGGTGGCAGCACTTCTGGCAGTCCTGGTGCGAGATGAGAGCAGTTAAAATAACGGTACATTAGAAAATATGGAGAAAGTAACAATATCAGCAAGTAACCAAATAAAATAAGAAAGTAACACACAAAATAAGTAGCGTAGCTTTCAAAACGCAAAGGAAAAACAAGAGATAATTTGTACTCACATTTTTGATTTTGGTTCGTCAAAATTCCTTTTCTTTTTTAATTAATTTATACACAGAAACCAAACAAAAAATATAATAAAAAAATCACTGGCACTTTCTTTTTCACTTTATCTTTTTTTTACACAGAAAAAAAAATAAAATAAAAAAAAAACATCGGCTCTGTCGGCCCTTGCTTTTGCACATAAAAAAATAAACAAAAAAATAAACAAATAAATAAACGAACGACTCTACGCAGCACAATGAAGATTTTTCCAGCTTTTACCCGCACGTTCAACGCTTTTTTACGGTCGAGCGAATGCTATTTCTATTTCACTCGCACTTGTATCTGCATTTGCGCAGGATAAAGAAAATTTCAAAATCAAAGCCCGGGCATAGATTTTTCAGTTTTTCATCAGGATTTTCGTTTTCCACGACGTCAAATTGCTTTTCCACGGTTTTCCGCGGTTTTCCGCAGTTTTCCGACTGTTTTTTGACCGTTTTTATCCTGTTTTCACAGGAGCGTTTTCGGACCGAACAATTTTTTAGCGAAAAATGAAATGAAAGAAGAATGGCGAATCAAAAGGATTGCAGACGACGGCAAGATGGCGGCCGCAAAAAAGAATCTAAACAAAAACAAACGGCACTATTTCGGCCGTTTTTTGCCATTTTGCTTTACTCCTTTTCCCCGCTTCGCTTTTGCCGATCAAAACAAGGAGGAGAACAGCACGAAAGCAAATCAATATTTATCAGCAATTTCTAATTTTCTCGGAAAAACTAAAAAGCAAATAGGAAAAATATATTCTTAAATTTTAATATCAGATTTTTTATATTAAAACGGTTAGACTGTTTCGACAATTGGTCAACAAATATTCGAACCACCTGATGCCTGATATTTACCTTTAATTTTCTTTAAATTATTACATTTTTTATATTTTTTAGTTTCTATTTATAGTTTGTATGCATATAATTAATATTTAGCAAGAGCAAAAGTTCATGTTAAATGTCAAAATCAATCTTACACGCTTACAGAATAACAGTGTCAAATTTGTATATTTAATAAATTTATTTTTAATTTAATATTTGGCCAATGTTTTAAATTTGTAACAATCTTATCCCTTATCAATTTTTGAAAAACTGGGAATATTTTTTTTTATAATTTTTGGAAAAAAAAACTACACTTAAAATCAATAACTAAGCCAAAAATGAATTGAATTCAATAAAAAAAGATCTGCATACTTTAGAGCTATTTTTATTTTATTTTTTTTCACCTGACTAAGTTTCAGCAATAGTTATTAATTTTTTTGTTTTTATGAAGGAAATATGCCTTTTTATGTTATTTATTATATTAAAGAATATTAAATTAAAATGTTGCAAAACAAGTTAAAGCAAAGCAAAGAAAGCAAGATATTAATTGTATAAAATATTAACCTATAATGATTTTTATAGGTATTTAAAAGTTAAAAAATATCATAACCAAGTAAAAATTCCTTATTTCACTTCGAAAAGTTATACTTTGCTAGTTTTTAAAAGGTTTTATTTTATTTTATTTTATCACCTAATTAAAAAAAATAAACAATTCTCAATTGTTAATATAATTGTACATTAATAATAACAAAGGCTAGCACCCCATACGCCTCTCATGCGCTCGGCGTTAGATTTAATAAACTGCAAATGGTCTGCTCTATGGGCGGAACCTGCTTGTCCTCGTGATGTTGCAGCAGCTTGAAGACACCAGTGCCAATGCCAGCCGGCATGCCCAGGATAATGCGCTCCGAGACCCCATTAATGGCATCCGTCTGGCCATAATACGCAGCATCGAATAAGTGATCCGCCGTCTTTTCAAACTGAAATAGAAAGAGGAATAAAAGGAGATGAAGTTGAGCTGGAAAGGCAAGCAAAATCCGCCTCTTACCGATGCCAAATTAAAGACACTCTCCCGCATCTTGGCCAGGCCGTGTCGCGTGATGCCCAGCACCTCGCCGCGGGCTGTCATCTGGCTGGCCAGGAGCATAATGTGCCGCCAGTCGACACTCATGCCGTGTCCCTCCATCACCTCGGTAATCTCGCTCATAATGATGGTACGCGCCGCCTCAATGCCCAGCGTCTGGTAGATTTCACAGATATTATTACTGCGCGTCTTCTCACCGACTACGCCATATGTGGCAATCACTTCCCGCAAGCCATAGCCCTCGATGCAGAGTTTATATGTGGCTGGTTGGCGGGCATCATCCACGGCTATGACGGCACGTGCTATATTCGGCAGACCGGACACCACCACATTTTGGAGGCTCAAAGCCAGACGTGCCAACTCTGCATTTATGGTGGCTGTTCGTGTGGCCTCCACACGCACCACGATTCCTGGAATCTTAACAGCCGGCTCCACCTGCGAGGGCTTCACCCGCATCCGAGACCTCAGAATGCTGGCCACAATCGAATCCAGACTTATGTTCAGGCCCAGCAGCTTTATGCGAGCCATATCCACGCCAATGGCTATGTAGCAGCTGTGCGGTCGGCACACAACCTCCACATGAGACGACAGTTCGCCCAGCGTGGTCTTCTCTATGCGCGCCTTCACCTGCCGGGCATATTCCATGCTATAACTATTCGTTAGCTCGGCGGTTATGATGGGCGTCGAAATGGTTTTCGTGGCATTAATAATCTCTACAATACGCGGCACACCCTGGGTAATGTTCATCGAGGCAACGCCAGCGAAATGGAAAGTCTTAAGGGTCATCTGTGTGCCGGGCTCACCAATACTCTGGGCAGCAATGGCACCCACTGCTGTCCCGGGCTCGGTCACAGCGCGGTTATAGCGATCGTTGATGCGTCGCAGAAATTCCAGCAGCTGTTCGGCGGTGATGCATTCAATCTGGTGGCAAAGATCCTCGTGTCCTTCATAACGCTTGTGCAGCATATTAATGCGTTTGGACACAGTGGAAAGGTGTTTTCTGAAAGAAAATGGTAAAGGAACTGACTTCCTTCAAGTTTCCCCTCTAGAACTCACCTAACATCCTCTTTAAAGTCCTCGCGAGCCTCGGCAAACTCTTCAGTTACCAAAAGCTGCTCCAAAACCTGGGGAATTTCACTACCCTTTAGAGGACATTGCTCGCCACGTGGTATCTGGGCCCTCAGATTGTCATACTGATGGACCAGATCCACGGGCTTGTTGCGTGTCTCCATGGACACAGGATCGAGGCCATCGCCACCGTATATAGTGTCCACCATTTCGTTGACTGCATTCCTTACCGTGCCATCGTAATGCACCACCAGATCCTCCAAACACTTGACCAGTCGCCGCTGCAGGTAACCCGTTTCCGCTGTTTTCACAGCCGTGTCCACCAAACCCTCGCGACCGGCCATGGTGTGGAAAAAGAACTCCGTGGGCGTCAGGCCTGAATAGAAGCTATTCTGCACAAAGCCTCGGGCAGCGGGTATGGCAGCTAAGGTGAAAAAATAACGTGAATGATTAAGGTCTCCTGATTTTTCGCCTCCTACTTACAATGCCTTTCAAAGTGCGGCAAGGCACGATCCTCAAACCCATTGGGCACTCGCTTGCCACTGATGGCCTGCTGGCCCACACAGGCAATCATCTGGGATATATTGATGTTCGAACCCTTGGAGCCACTGAGGGCCATGATCAAGGCGCTATTTGTGGGATGCAATTCGGCAAAGCAGGTCTTGGCCGCCTGCTCACGGATGCCGGAGAGTTCGCGCAGCATCACCGACTCCAGGGTCTCGGCCGGCGTGCAGCCAGGCTGGCTCTGCAGGGTGCCCATCTTGAGTCTTTCGATATATTCATTGCACTTGGCATAGCCGCGCTCCAGGAGCAGCTCCTTGTGCTGGAGCAGCTTCTTGCTGGGCGTCACATCGCTAATGCCAAAGGAGAAGCCACGGTTTTGCAGGAAATATGAGGCAATCTAAGGGGAGGGAAGGAATTTATTTAAATTTTAAAATTAAAAAAAAATTAAATTAAATTAAATTAAATGAAAATACATTAAAATAAATTAAAAATTTAAAATAAATAAATTATAAATTAATTAATTTAATTTAATTAATTAATTATTCTCTTAATAAATAAATTATAAATTAATTAATTAAATTTAATCAATTAATTCATAATTTATTTATTTTAAATTATCTTAATTTATTTTTATTAATTAAATTTAATTAATTAAAAGAGGAAATGCATGTATATCAAAATTTAAGATTTTTCCGTAAATTTTGCTCTTTAGGAAATAGTCTAGCAATCACCGGAAATTTAGGAAATTGATAAAATTGAAACAGGGATTTTTAATTCCCCTTCCTGAACCTATTCACCTGCCTTGAATTGTGTGCGATGTGAGGTAGCCTCCTCCTACCGCCCACTCTCTGATCGAACGGCCGTCAACACTTTTAAGGTAAAAGGGGTAAAATACGACTCTAGAATACCCTGTACCCCAAAACCATCCTCATCTGCAGTTAATCAAGATTTCAAAACATAAACTAAAACCAACAGAAATAGAATATGCTTCACCCTGGGACAACAAGTCACTCGACTCTCAAGGATTATAAAAATGTTCCAAGAAGCAATTAAACGCTATAAACAAGGTATTAACCATATAAACTATACACCAGGCAGTCTCCAGCGAAGCAGACCAACGTAATTTTAGCAGTAAGTAGTTAATCTTATCACAAAATTCAGTCCAACTCACATTCTTTAAACAATTTGTGCGAAATACGGACAGGAGGCGGAGAGATAACATATGAAAGGTGACAAAATATAAATTAAAACAATTGTCTGGGCTACGCGACAGAGCCCAGAGAGAGACAGAGCCATGAATGTCAAGGAGGGAGCTGTTAATTACAAAAGGTCTTCATGCCTAGTATGGCTTTTATTAGCAATAAGTCTGGGATTGCAATCAGTTGTAGGAGCAGCGCCACCAGAGAGTATAGTAAGTAGTCAAAAAATATATGTAAAAACCAAGAAAACATTTCGAAACTCTATTTAATTTACACAGCAAGGTCGTATCATATCGGGTAGCCAAGCCTCAGCTGGCCAGTTCCCCTGGCAGGTGATCCTCAAGCGGGACGAGTGGGATGACCTGCTGTGCGGCGGTTCAGTGATCTCTGCCAAATGGGTTCTAACAGCCGCCCACTGCGCCTATGGGCATTCTTCGCTCTTCCTGATCTTTGGCACCATTGAGCTGAACGACGACACGGCCCAGAATATGACATCCACCACGTTCTTTGTGCATCCCAATTACAACGACAAGATGAACAACGATGTGGCCTTGATCCAGCTGCCGCAGGCATTGGTCTTCTCCAGCAGCATTCAACCCATCAGCCTGGTGACTGCGTCCCAGAAATCGAACAATTTTGTGGGCACTGCGGCCGTTGTGGCTGGTTACGGACTGATGGATGACGAGTACCTCGACTATTCGCAGACATTGATGTATGCCCGTGTGACGGTGATCGATAATAACGAGTGTCTGCCCATCTATGGTGCCTCCGTTGTCTTGGACTCTACGCTATGTGCCCAGGGTTCGGATGGTAGCAATATGTCCATCTGCAGCGGTGACTCTGGCGGTCCATTGATCACCTACAACTCCAGCACGGGACAATGGCAACAGATTGGCATCAACTCCTTTGTGGCCGAGGATCAATGCACTGCTGGCTACCCCTCGGGCTATGTTCGTTTGACCTCGTTCTTGGATTTCATTACCGAGACCACGGATATTGTGTTGGACAATTGAGTGGGGATTTAATGTAATTAATAAAACAACGCTTATTCGAAAAAAAAACCCCAGAGATAATGTGACTTGATTTGCTGATAACAAGTGTGGCAGATAAAGTGGGGAAAATTCAGCGAAATTCAGTTTGTTTTTGGGGTTTAAAGCTGTTAAAGCAGGTGAAATATATCGAAGATATCGAAAAAGTCGATAGAAAAAGGGATATTTAAACGTAGAGAAAAAATAAATTTTTTTTTAAATTTAAAGAATTAATCTAATCGTTAAATAAATACCATTTATTTGATATTTATAATTAAAATTGATTTTTTAACATTAAATGCGATAGTTTTCGATAAAAGTATCGATATATCACACTTTTCAATGATATTTTCTATATAACACAACCTTCCCCTCTATTTTTACTCCCAACTTCTAAATCTCCTAGAATAACAATTGTCTTAAAAAGATCTTAAATAAAACGTACCCATTTCTTGGATTTTTAAAAGATAAAATCGATTTTTCAACATTAATGCGAAAATTTTCGATATTTAAAAACTCGATATATAAACTTTTTTTTAATGATATTTTCTATCGACCACAACCTTTTTCTCGAAATTCACTTCCAACTCTTAAAACCTTCACAATAACGTATATTTTCTAAAATAAAAACTAAAATAATACGTACCCTAGCCAGTCTCCACATGGCCTTGGTGGCATGCGCCTCACCAAAGTCCCTGAGCATCAGATAGAAAATGCACTGCTTGGTGCCCGAGCCCATGGTGGCCTTGTCCATGACACCGCACATAAGTTCCGAGTTGCGTATGTGAATCCCTGCCACCAAAAGGAGGATCATATTATATTATTCTCAGTTTCCTTACCAAAAATATAACCACTTACAGGAATCATTGCTGCACAGATCCATGTTGCCCGTGTAGTTGCGCCCCTTGTTGACCATATTGAGGCGGACATGCGAGGCACTGTTTGGTCGCATCAGCAGGCTAAACATTTGCTTGCCCGTCCAGAGGCGACGCGGCTTAAGCAGAGCCGGCGGTGGCAGCTCAATGTGCATGGTGGAGTCCTCTCCAGCAATAAAGCAAGCAGCCAACTGCATGGCCTCCTCCTTGGTGAGGAAGACCTCCTTTTGGGTGAGCAAATATCCACCGGTGATAAAGTCCTGGGTGGCAGCAATTAAAATCTCACCGTTCTTGGGCGTCACCAAATTCGACTGGTTGCCCATGAGTATCAGGGCCTCGGCACGGGCCTCCTCCGTTTGCGGCAGATGAAGATTCATCTCGTCGCCATCGAAATCGGCATTGTAGGGCGTGCAGGCGCATTCATTGAAACGGAATGTCCGCTGGGGCTGCACCTTGGCCCGGTGGCACATAATGGACATCTTGTGTAGCGATGGCTGCCGATTGAACAACACAATGTCCTCGTCGCGCAGATGTCGCTCTACAATATCCCCGCACTTGAGCTCCTGGGCCACCTTCTCCCGGTTGCCATAAGCCAGATACTTCTTGAAGCTGGAACCACGTTGCTGCACATAATTGGCACCCGGATGCATACTAGGGCCATTCCTCACCAACTGTCGCATGTGCCGCATATTTGCTGGATTCACACGCTCCGGATAGGTGAGAATCTTGGCCACGCGCACCGGTACGCCCACCTGGTTGATCATGAGATTGGGATCCGGTGAGATGACGGTACGTCCACTGAAATCCACACGCTTGCCGGACAGATTGCAGCGAAAGCGTCCCTGCTTGCCCTTCAGGCGCTGCACTATGCCACGCGTCGTCTTCTTGGGTGCCATGTTGATGGGTATACCGCTAATCTCGCTGTGGAAATACAGGGCCACATGCAGCTGCAGAAAGTCCCAGTCCTCGTGTATCAGCTCGATCTTGCCGCCGGTGGCCATGTGCCGCTGAATTACATCATTGATGAGCAGGATTTCACTCTGTTTCATCGTCAAGTCATCCTCCGTGGTGCCGGCCTTCACTTCGGATAGCACAGATGGTCGGATGCAGGCGGGCGGGACAAACACTCGCGTCACTATGAGATGCCTGGGATGGGCATCGCGGGAACACATACCCAGCAGCGCCACATCGCTCTGCGGTATCTGCTCGAACAGGTCCAGCACCATTAGCGGGGTTAGCTCCTCGGCTGTGCTGTGATTGCCCAGGGTGAGATTTAGGTCACGATTTGCCTCCGTGGAGCGAAGCATTTCATTCATGTTGCTGGTGAACAGGGAATCCACCTTGCGTCCCTTGTACGGATCGTGCAGGATCTTGAGCAGGCCGGGACCCTTCTTGACCCCGCCATTGGGTGACCCACAGTGCGGGCACTTGGTTACCTTCTTGGCCTTGGCCAGCATCTGGACATGCAGAGCCTTCTTGCCCAAATACGAAAAGTTCGGATTGTGCAGCTTCTTCTCGTACATGGCCCTGTCCTCGGGCTTGAGCATGACCCGGGCACAGGCCTTGCAGATCATCTGCAGGATGCTAATGGTGGAACGAAAGTGTCCAATGTGGAAGACGGGTAGCGCCAGGTCCAGATAGCCAAAGTGACCGATGCACTCGTTCAGACCCTGGCCACAGGTCTCGCACAGGGCATCCTTGGTGCTGATGCCCATGCGCCGGTCCAGGACGCCATAGGGCACGGGCTGTCGCTGGCCCTGGTACAGATTCTTGGAGATGATACGCACCAGGGACTCCTGTTGGATCTCGGCAGCCCCGCTAATACCAAACTGGACATGTGAGCTGCAAATGGGGGTGAATTAGTGTAGTTCCTGGCCAGGAGCAGTTACACTTACATCTTCTTGTTCAGTGCCGAAGCACGAAATTGCTCCTTGGGCATGGTAATAACCAAAAATCACTTATTTTTTAATTAAAAATATTGCCGGTACGAATCTTAAACATGCTGCCGGGCCAGTGTGACCGGGTGTGGGCAGTTCTGAAATACCAACAAATGGCGGAGAATATACTGTAAAATACCAAATGGAAGCGAAACGGTGAGACGGGAACACCAAGACGTTATTTTTTGAAATTTCTATTTAAATAAGTTTTTCAGAGTTTTTCAGTTTCAATTAAATACAAAAATAAAGTTTTTTTATGTAAAAATGTTTAATACTTTTGGTTCTTAAATCGGTTTACTGATTTCAGATTTTTCCCATATATAAACCCATAGATTTAACATTTCAAGCCCTTTTTCTTTGAATTTGCTTTGCCTTTAGATTTTTGATCCTCTTGAAATTGTCCCAAATCAGCACAGAAAATGATCTGCAAAAGAAAAGTATTACAAACATAGCTAAATAAATTTGTAAAAAATATTTGTACACTCACCGCCTGAGCCCAACCTGCATACTTTCCGTGCAGCTTTTGAAAGTAATTGGAAACCTCCTCGTAAACCCTTTTTGTGACGTTCTTCTGACTGCTCAGGTGTGGTAGGTAGTATTTCTGGGCAATCCTGTATATGTGCACGTCCACGGGCACAGCCTCTAAATGACCCATGGACATGAGGCAAATGCAGTCGGCCACCTTGAAGCCAATGCCCGGCAGCTGTGCCAGTTCCTGACGCGCCTCGTGGTAGGGCAAGCTTTGGAGCTCGATAAACCAGTTCTGGCCACCACGTTTTTGTATCTCCTGCAAAGTCTGGGCTATAAATTTAGCCCGATAGCCGAATTTAGCGGCACGAAGTTGGGCATTTAATTTGTCACAGTCGAAGCCTTCGAAGTTCTTTAATGTGGGAAATGTAAACTCATCGCAGCCATTAAAATGGCCCAGTTTGGTGCCAAAAGTGGCACAAAACCATTGGATCATTGCTGAAATTCTAACACGAAAAAGAATTATTATAAATATTTAGTTTAGTATTTGTTAAGTGTATTATTTACCGCTTAATATTGTTGTTTTGGCTGCAAATGAAGCTTATTATGTTCTCCAAGGGATCCTGGGAAAGAACACGCACTGGCTTGCCCACAAATTTGGCAAAATTCTCATCTTTGCTTGTCCATTCGGCTTGGTGCTGTTTTAGTTTAAAATCAGCACGCAGGTACTTGGCTATCACAGATTTATAGTCCACTTTAAAGCCGGACTTGGCCTCCGCGTATGCCTCGTATGTTAGGTGGGAAGTTTCCTGCTGGAGCACCCAATAGATGTTGGAAACGACTCCACAGTATTTGGTCTTGCCATTTTCAGCTTTTATGGAACGCCAGCTAAGGAAATATAAACTATTTTTAGGCAAATTCCTCCTGTAGGCAAAGCTACTCACCGGAAGCTCTGTCCTCCCAGCAAACTGCGCTCCAAGTCACATGCCTCCTCTGGCAGTTCTATGATTCCGCTTTGCTGGAGACTTGCCGTCATGTTGGGAAGGTTCAGGGACACCTAAAGGGGTTCTCTGACACAAAATACCCTTTTGGTAGGGTAAAACTAGTAGACAAAATCCATAATACAAGCAAATAGTTTTCGCCGGTGCAGATTTGTTTATAAATTTGAGCAAAGTGTGACCAGAGCTGGTTGACTAAAACATACTGAATACGCTTGGCCTTGAAAGTGAAATGGTGAAAAATGGGAAATTAGAATAAAATAAATGATAATAAAATAAATTAGAATAAATAATTAAAGCATAATAATATACTCTATTAGGACACAAGTTAAACTATTTTCTGTGCTAGAGAGAGACCACCTTATACACCTGCTTGAAAGTTCTCCCCCCGTGGTTTTTTTGAGCGGCAGAAATGCGGTCGCACTGGTTACGGCACACATTTCTCATATCAAAAGCAGCAAAAAAAAACTTAAAAACAACTGAATATGCCTTAAAAATTACGCTGGCGAACTGAAAAGGAGAAGCAGGAATATCAACTCCACATCACGACAACCGGGAGAACACGTGTCCCGCAGCATGGCAGGCCTTAATAACTACTCGAGTCTAAAGTACGTACAACTTGCATTTTTGCCAAAAAATAATCACAGCTAATAGGAGCTTCTATTTCCATCCCACTACATAGATTCGAGGCGACGCACGGCCAGGGTGACGAGCACATCGAAAGGGACAAGCCGGGGGCCGGGAGCAGCCCCAAAAGGCATCCGGGAAGCAGGTACGGTACAGCCCCCCGCATTATCTTTACCTGAATTATATAAATTCCTGTGATCCAGCCTTGAAGGTCGCGAAAAGGCGATTGTGGACAATATAAATGCCGACCAGGATGCCATACACAAACTGCAATATCTCAACTTGGACGATCCCCTGTCGCTGCCGCTGGACAAGCATAAGTATATAGATAATCAGGAGGATGGTTAGTTGTTGGATTGGAAGGGTAAACATGGTGGCTATTCCTAATCATACCCATTTTTGCAGACACGTCCATCCGCAAGTACCTGGTGGTGGGCGTTCAGTGGGTCTCTCTGGTCACCGAGAACCTATTGAGCCATCCGTTTATAGTGCTGCGTCGGCAGTGCCAGGTCTTTAATGCCTCGAAGCGCTACCACTTGCATCCGTTCAGCCTTCTGCCCAGCATTGTGCACCTGCACAGGCGACAGGGCGTGACCACGCTGTGGAAGGGCGTGGGCAGCTGCCTGCTGGTGCGCGGCATGACCTTGGCCATTGACGATGTCATCTCGAAGTTCACCAGTTGGCCCAAGGATGTGGATAGTCGCACTACCCTGAAGCGTTTCGGACAGCACATTATTTTGAAGTGGTAAGTAAGCATCTCATTCAAACTTCTTTCATTTTATTAACCATTTCCCTTTTGGCAGCATAAGCATTGGCTTGGTTGTGCCCTTCCATGCCGCCTCCTTGGTGGAAACGGTGCAGAGCGACATTGCCAGCGAAAAGCCCGGACTGTTCGATGTGTTCCGCGAGGGAAGCCTCCGTCTGTTTTACTGGAGTTCCCCGCAAAAGGGTCGCATGCTGCCCGCTTGGGCGCTGATCGGACCCAGTGTGTCGTTTGGCATCACCAAGTATCTGTTCAACCTGGTCATACGCGGCATCTCGTCGCGCATTATGCGGCGACGCATAACTTTGTCTCCGGAGAAGCCCGGTGGCAAGCTGGTCGACCAGACGCTGGAGCATCAGAATGCCGAGATATATGCCAGTTTGATAGCCATGCTGACCACCGAGGTGATATTCTTCCCGCTCGAGACTATTTTGCATCGCCTGCAATTGCAGGGCACTCGAACGATCATCGATAACCTGGACAATGGCTATGCCGTAGTGCCGATCCTGACCAACTATCAGGGCGTCGTTGATTGCTATCAAACAACGATGGTCACGGAGGGCGTGGGTGGACTGTACAAGGGCTTTGGTGCCATGATCCTGCAGTTTGTGGCCCATGTGGCCGTCATAAAGCTGGCCAAGTGGATTGTCAACCAGATAACAGAGGTGATATCCAACCGACCGCCGCCACGGATAGTCCAGTACTATAATCTGGATGGCATTGCCGGCAACTCGGGCTCCACGACCATATCGCCGAGTGTCTCCAGCACCGAACTGGAAGTCAACAGTCTGGGACAGAGCTCACTCGATTAGCCGGTGGTAGTGTCCAATTATTTATGAATACGATGTACATTATATGTTATAATTTAAATCTCGAAAATGTCAAGTTTATTTCTTAGAGTGGGAAACTCAACTCCGCTGAGGTTTATCAGGTTAATGCTTTGCTAACTGAATTCTCAGGGTTTCGATTTGAAAGATTGTACAAGCATTGTTAGCGAAATATTTCAAAGATGAGCAAGCAATTGATATATTAGGATATTATTTGTTTAAAATTGTGAGAAAAGTAAGAAAATTAAATTTAGGAATTATTATTTTTTTTAGAACTCAATATATTTCACAGAAATAGTTAAAATTTAATCGATTTGTAGGTATAACTTTGTAGCTAACTTATTAAAATAAATTATGGTATCAAGGTAAGTTGTGAAAATATTATAAAAATTAATTTTCAACAATCGTTTTCACTAAAATGTGTTAAAAAAATAAAGGGTAATTCATTTTAAATTTTATAAAATACATTTTCAGCAATAATTTTCACTAAATGTGTTAAAAAAATAAAGTTTATTTTTGCTTCAGCAGTTTAAACCCAAAATGTTATAGATTTTATAGACTTGTTAATTTTGCATAAATTATATAATATAAATTTGGAACTAACAAAATAATAAATCAAATTTAAAAAAATTTAAAAACACAAAATTTAGAACACAAAGGTAGTGTTCTAAATTGCTCAAGACAATTTTGCTTGGCAAATCTTGCTATTATTTCATGTATATAATTAGGATGAGGAAATATGATATTAGTTCTAATATGTTTTTAACTCGATATTCCTGGTTGGGTTTATATTTTTTCCGCTTCAATAAAATGACTCCTGAGAGAGAAAAGCGTTATCAGTTACACTGTTAATAAATGTTTAAATTTTTCACATATAATTTATAATTATTTAATATATATTAAACCCTTGCAGGGTATTATAATTTCAGTCAAAAGTCAGAAACACAGTGAAGGAGTCATTTCCGAGCCTATAAATCATGTATATTCTTGATCAGTATCAACAGGCGAGTCTTTCTAGCCATGTTGGAAAGAAAATAAAATTTTACCAATTTTTTCCAAATTTTATAAGGGGTTACATCGTTAAAATTTTCAAGAAAAATTACAGAAAATTTTAATTTTTAAAAATATTTAATTAAGTATGCAGATTTGTCAACCCAATAAAAACTAGTATAGAACTGTTTTCCGATTTAAAATTTATGCTTTTTTGGCTTATTTATGACAGTTACAAACTGCAAGGATATACAAACTTCGGCTTGCTTCCTTTTTTATATATTTATAATTTATATTTTATTTAATAATTCTTGCTTTACTGATATATTAAGCTTTGTAAATACAATTCTCATCTCTCTCTTTCGTTTTTAGTATATTTTTATTTTTATAATTTTTCCCAACTTGTTATACAATTTGGTGACAATTTTGTTTTCAGTGTATGGCCATTCTCAAATTTACACTTTTTTAAAATGCATTCATAGACAAATTGTGGTTTGCTCCGCTGACGCCGTTGATCGTAACTTGAGGATGTCCAGGTAGTTCTCTAGAGAACATGTACATATATGTACATATATACATACATTAACATTTACGGAATATATTCGGCTTATAAAATATTCAATTGCTGAATTTTATTCATTTCGTCAAAGAGCTTCAACGGATACAGAAGCTTAAACGGAGCAGAAAAATCATTGTACTATTTTATAATTATTTTATATATATTTTAAAAATATTTTTAAAATTTTTATAATACATAAAAATAACAAAATAACAGTGTTAATTAACTAAAATACATTATATTGTGATTAGTTGCTAGTGTTATTATTATATATTATTATTACAAAAATAAAACAAAAAAAAGTTAAAAAATAAAGAAAAAACTATTTTTAAAATTTTAAATATATTTTAATAAATTACTAACAATAAAAAATAGTAATAATAAAACAAAAAAAATGTATAAGCTTCAGCTATATGTTTTAAAATAAAAGTGGTTAAAAGGTAATACAACACATTTTTACAATAAAAAAGCTCTTATCTAAGAATTGTTTATTTATTTTAGGACATAAACTATAAATATTTTTGGTGAAACTTGTTAGTGGACCTGCAAGAAGTAAGCATGCCAAGTCAAATTCTAATTATGTAAACAAATAATATAAAAAATTACTACATTTAGTTGGACTTCTCCCATTTCTACACAATTTCAAAATGGACTCGAACCGGAAGTTAGCCAAGGACTCAACCCGGAAGCGTGTCAAAGACAAGGCTGGTCCCTCGAAACCGGGTTCGTTGAATCCTGATTTTATGTCCAATATATTTATTGCCTATAAGGTTAAATTAGTTATGTGGATGGCATTAAGCTGCCAGTTTGTTTTGCTACCGATTTTTGTTTTGTTAGTTACTATAATGGCTTTTTACTATATATATTTTTAATTAAGGCTAAGGGAAAATAGTAAAATAAATTATAAAAAATAAAAATAAAAATAAAAAATGATTAGAAATATATATTAAGGAAACATATATTTTCAAAATGAATTATTTAATGTGGAAGAAATTATCTAATTAAAAATAAACTTAAACTTTTAATTTTAAAAATATATAAAATCGATTTTAAAGAGTATATTTATAATATATTTACGAAAAACACTTTTAATTAATTTAATTTAATTTTAAAATATCCTGATGAAATTTTCAATGAAGGAGTCCTAGTCCTGCTAAACGCTTGATTCGTCCAAGGTGACTGAACGGATGACCAGAGGCTCCAAATTCCTGTTGCGAGTGGATCCCCCGCTATACCTTATAATAATAGGACGATTGTAGGGCTCGGTAACACTCGAATGCTGACTAGGATCCACTTCCCCAGCCTCTGGTTTGTCCTCAGCTACCTGATCCTTTGGCTGACCAGTGAGGTTGTTGTTACTAAGCCAACCCTGGATAACTCCAATGGCAACGGCTAGACTCGCTGCCAGCAAGAAACGGATGAGGTTGAAGTAGCCATCGTTTATACCCTTTGCCAGTTCGGGAAGATTCTGCTCGATATAACCCTCAGTAACCCATTCGCAGACTCTAACCAGTCCAAGGAGCAACGGTATCCAGGTCTGAACAAGCAGAAACTCCACCGAACATACTATCACAATCAGCTCCACCAGCAGGCGAAAGATGTGCTGAGCCCGGTTCAGGTTGGAGCCAGGTGGACCTCGCAGTGGACGCCACTTGGTTAGAGTCGCCAGCAGGGTGGTGGTGAGCAGGGTGGACGCTGAATTGGGTACCAGCTGCACGGCTGTGGGGTAATTCATCCCGAAGAGACTCAGGCGCAGCAGATGCATCACTGTGCCGACACAGATGATCCACAGGTCTTCCAATCGGTCGAATTGCATGATGGAATACCAAATTCGAATTAACATAAAAATTTTTACAAATTTAGGAAAAAAATTGAGTAGGATTTGTTTTCAATTATTAATTTTAGAGATGTTAACTAAAGCCTTGCCGAAATGAATCTGAATTTTTAGGGGAACCTTACTCTGAGGGGGTGGTTGAAAGTGACTCTAAAAACTACAGGCCAATTTGATAGAGAAATATTTTGTGGTTTTTTATTTGTGAATTTTGCTTATAGAAATAAATATATCATTTTTAAATATATATCAAAATATAATAATTAAATTATTATATGTATTTTGTTGTATCTCATTTGAAAATTTTGTTTATATGAAATTTAATATGTTTTTATTTGATTAATAATTAAATCTCAAGATATAAGCCTTGTTTTTGGCTATATATATCTTTTTTTCAGTGTAAAGCGACTTTAGCCAATATCCCCTCCAAGACAGTAATAGAAAAGCGCAGTCAAGGACATATACCTAGGGATATTTTAGCCATAAATTCCTACAGCGAAAATATCCTTTTGCCTTAGCTTTCACTGTGTTTCTAATATAAATATGTAAATTAATATAAATATACTATAAATTAATAAAATAAAAATTAATTTAATACGTATGTATGTATATATATTTATAAATATATAAATACTTAAATAAAAACATAGTTAAGTTCAGCTTCCGTTTTAAAACCCATTGAACTTAATAAATTTATGTGTATTCTTATTTCCAAGCTATAAAAAGCTCTAATATGCTTATATCGTAAGATAAGGTCCTTTTTCACCTTTTATAAAATATTTTATAACATATACCATAAAAAACAATGTATTCCTTACAAATATACAGCAAATTTAAGAACCAAAGGCTAAATTATAGCACCAAAAATAAAAGAAAACCCTGCAAACCTCCGCTTTGCCTTTAAAATCATCCAAAACTTTCACCCAAATTTATTTCTATTTACTCTCAATTTTCCTAAATAAACTAATATCCAAGATTTAGGATAAGATACTACCAGCAAGGCACACACCTAAGGATCAGGGACACCTGTCGAGGCCATGTCAAAGCGGCAACGTGATGCGTTCGGTGGTCCAAACAAGAAGGCCGCCAAGAACAGATTCAGAAAGCTGGTCCGCAATGTCATCCTCAACATGCAGTGGCTCAACGAAGCCGCCGAGGACACCGGCATCTCCCTGAACGTGAAGAAGAATGTGGCCATGTCGGTGCGACAGAAGCGCAAGGTCGGCATGATGACCATGGCGGTGAGTGATGGATCCTCTAGGTCAGTGATCCCTAATCCCATTTTGACCAGCAAAAATTAAACCCTGTTGCAGGAGAAATCCTTGCTGCGGACGCCGCATCACACGCGGACCGTCGATGAGCGAAAGAAGCTGTGCAACATTCTGGCCAACCTGGCCTGCTTCTCCAAGTTCGCGCCGGTGGGTTATATATTTCTATATATTCCTATATCCATATATTCCCTTATTCTATTGCTATACATCTGTGTCCTTTGCAGAAGGTCCGCGCTCGCCTGGTACCGCATATCAAGTTTATGGCCGTCAATCCGGGACGAACTATAATGAATGAGGGTGATATTCCAGTTACTATTTATTTCATAATCGCTGGAGAGGTGGAAATGTCCAGGAATGTCTATAACAAGGTGAGCTAAAAGCCCTAAATACTTGAATCCTGCTTGAATCCTGCTTGAATGCAGCTTAAATTATGGTTAAATCAGTGCTTGATGCAAGCTTGAAGAATGCTTGAATCCTGCTTGAATCTTGCTTGAATCGTGCTTTACTGCTGCTTGAATCCTGCTTGAATCATCCTTGAATCCTGCTTAAAACCTGCTTGAATCCTGCTTGAATCATGCTGGAATCATGCTGGAATCCTGATAAAAAACTGCTTGCATCTTGCTTGAATCCTGCTTAAATCTTGCTTGTATCCTGCTTGAATCCTTCTTAATTTTTTGTTCATTTTAGCTTTAAATTTAAAAAAAATTATCCCTGCAGGCCACCAAGCTGTTCGAGCTGCACTCTGAGGCTATTTTTGGACCTGGCGATTGCATTGGCGACATAGATGTCCTGGAGAACTCGCCCAGGACCAACACATATGTGGCCACATGTAAGCCTTGACTGAGATATCCTGCCTCCTCAGAGATTTCAATATATTTCAATATATATATCAGCTAATTGCGAGCTCTTGGTGGTATACAAGAACACCTACGAGCAGGTCCTGCAGCAGTCCATGCAGAAGCTATGGCAGGAGAAGAAGGATGCCCTCAAGGCCCTGGACTATTTTGAATTCTTCAACGAAGAGCAGGTAAGTGAAGTTTTTAGTGTTGTCTAGGAACTCCTTCAACTTCCTGGTAAATCAAGATAGTGAATGCCTGCAAATACGCCAACATACATCAGTTTGATACCCTGGAAACCATCTACACCGAGGACCAAGGCTCCATGAGCTCTGTGTACTTTGTGCTGAGCGGCGAGTGTGTTATACTCCAGTGCCTCCATATGAAGGTGAGTCCTGTCGGGGATAGGATTAGATTATGCCTTACCCTTTCCTCTAAGGTCAACCTGGTCAATCGGGAGAAGGTCTATCAGCTGGCCAAGGTCACCAAGATGTTGTCTGTGGATGAGATAGCCAAGGACAAGAACGAGGCGTACTTTGATGTCCAGGACTATGTGATGACCACATCCTCGGATGATGAGAAGAGTCAGAATAAAACAAGGGGGGTGAGTGTCTAGGGTATCCCAAAAGGATCAATCTTTGTCACAACCTATCCTTTCTTGGCAGCTGCGCAAGATGGGCCTGCAGGAGATCCAGAAGGGTTGTGCCGATATGAATAGAACCATAATCCGTAGGTCCACCAAGACCGAAGGATTACGTCCCAAGGCGCGCAGAAACACCCGCAACTGGGAGAAGGAGAACGAGGGTGCGGGGGGAAAGCCAAAAAGAAAACGGGAGCTCTATGAGCGATATTTAACCGGCATGGTTGAGGGTGAGGAGGAGGAGGGTTATGATCTCTCGGAGAGCCAGGACTCCAGCCACTCCCTGTCCACGTTGCACTCATCCGTGAGCAGTGAACTGAATGTGGAGAACGAGACGGAGGGCTCGGAGATATTCACCGCCACCAATGAGTCGCATGGCAGTGTTCATACCCGCGATTCGGGCGATGATCTAGACAAGGACCGCTATGAGACGCACTTCATCGATGTGGGCTCCCTGTCCTATGGCGGCATCTTTGGGCTGGGCGAAAAGATGGCCCATCGCGTGATCATGGCTCGGACCACGGTCCAGTGTATATTGATACCACGCTTCTGGCTCCTCGAGGCCGCCCAGAATCCGGGTAATTTGTGGCAACGCAAGCGTTTCTACATTGAATGTAACATACCCACCAGGGAGGCACTCTTCAAGAACTTCCTGAAGACTCGCAAGTGGGAAAAGTTCCGGCATGACTATATACAGGAGATCCTGGCCTCCACCACCCTCACTCGGTTCACCAAGGTCGAGGATATACCCATCATCAGTCGCATTGTGGAGACGCGAGCCGATGATGTCTGACCGCAGTCTAGTTGGTTTATACATGTACATACTATATTTTCACGTTCGCAGCATTATAAAACGATTACTAGTGAGTGTAAGCAGGGTACTTTTAAGAACTTAAAGGGTATACAGACTTCGGCTACCCTAAGCTGGCTTTCTTGCTTGTCATATTTTGAGTTGGGATATTTATTTCACTCAGAAAGTGTGCTTTCCCCGCCGGAAAATACCCAGTTTTTCAGGGGAAAAGCTCTGGAGCTTTGGGACAGTCACCAAGGATGAAGAGTGGTGAGCAGCGAGCGTGTGCTTCTGGTCCTGGGGAAGCTGCGAGTGTGCAGACAGGAGCTTTCACTCGATGTCCTTCGAGTGTCCTGCCTGCCTGCTGGAGAGTCTGGCTTCGCTGGCTGCCAGTTCAGTTCATTACAGTTTCCAAGGATAAACGATACCTACGTGCTCCGGATAGCGTCGCCTTCGCCAGAGCCAGAGCCAATTGTCGTGTTTCGAACAGTTCGTCGTGGTCATCGCATGTGGAATATTCGCGACAGCCAGTGCCAGTGCGTCATAGGAAAATCCCTAGCTTTTTGTTGACACACACACTTACACACAGAGGATATGCTGGCCAAGAACCAATCAATGTGGCACGAGTAGTATTTTTGTTTACCTTTTTTTTATTGTTTGCAAAAAAATAAACAAGCGAAAAGCGAAAGTGCAAGTGCGGCAAAAGATTGAAGCCAAGTCAAGGCAAGTCAAGTCCAAGTCAAGTGATTTCCAGCCTGAATATTCGAATGGAAGCCAACACTCTAGGGGTCCTGGGGTAAGTGAAACGATATACATGTATCCTCCAAATTAAAGCTGATAATAAAGCCCTTAATTAAATCACTCAGACATCCTTCACCTGTGGCACTTAAAGTCAATGTCTAAGGCTTCAAAGAGAGTTTAACTTTGAACATTTTTTATTATTTTTATTATTTTTATTATTTTTAGTTTTGAGTTTGCCAAGAACTATGAAAGCCCGGCCACACACACTCTCCGGATTATCCCTTGTACGCAGCCCCAAAATATAGGCTACGATTTTAGCAGGCTGACAAAATAAAATCAAGCTTGTCACCGCCGTAATTGTGTGCTGGGAAAGTTGTAAATTGGTTTTGTCAATGGAAATCTCGGAAAACAAGCCTCTTGTCCGGTGGGGCCTGTTGTCCTGTTTGTTAGGTAGGGTTGTCCTTAAAGGGTCTCAACCAAATACAGGTTTTATTTTTTTTCTTCTTAGAAATCGAAACAATTATAAAAGTAGAGAAAGGAGAAGTGGCTATATACTTATTTATTATTCTAAATTGCACTTAAAATTTAATTTTTATAGAATTTTTAGATTGATAAATAATAAGTATAATATAAAATGTTTAATATCTTGCCTATAAACCTATTAATTAGCTCGCTTAAAACACTCTAGATATCATTGACACAAACAAAACCATATACATATTTGTTTTGGGAAACCAAACATTATGGCCAGCCAGTGAATCATTAGCTTATCTGGGTCAGATATTGTGATTTATAGAAATTAGGCACTTCCATTGCCATGTCACCTTGGCAATTTGATTTAGTGGCCACCAAGAGAGGTTTATGAGGGAATATATATTGGTCTAAGGAGATATGGGAACCAGAGGAGCCAAGCTTGTGGTATTTAAGAGTACTTTTAGTAGAAGATCTTTTGGAATGTTTCCTTTAAAAGTGATTGGTTTTTCTTACCCTAACTAACGTGAAATTACTTAAATTAGCTCAGCAAAAGCTTATTAAATTTTAATTTTTTTTATAAATATTATTATTATAAATATATATAAAATTATAAATAAAAAGGTGGACTTTTTAAAAGGCAAAGAGTTCAAGGTTTTTAATATCCAAGGAAAGTAGGAATAAAAAAATTCCATAAACGAATAAATATTAACCAAAAAGAGCAAGTAAAATCCTAAAAGTTAATTCTTTTTAATTCTTTTTCATTTTCACTCTCTTCTTAATTTTGTATATACCTTAACTATTTAAGGCACTTGTTCATATATGCCATATAATTTCGATTTAACTTTGTATAATAATAATTTATAACATTTAGATATATGTTACATCTTATTATACATTATTTGGTAAATATTAAATATTTAGTAAATATTTCTAAATATTGTTATTAATAATATTGCTATAATTATTATTTTAAGCATTCCTTTTTCCTGCTTTTATTTTATATTTAAAATTCTCTAAGGGATTAAGGTGTCCATCAAGGAGCATACTAACATACCTTGTTCAACTTTAATATCTAACAATTTTCAAAATTAAACAAAAAGTGTTAGGGAACTGTGACATTTATTATTTTAACATTTACATTTATATTATCTTAACATTTTATTAAAAATCAAAGGATTATAGGGCCAGAAGTAGATTTTTGGCTTTCACAGTTGGAATGATAAAGACAAAAGAACTGCTGAAAAACGAGATTAAACTCTATCTTATATACATATTTTTATAAATATTTAAAATTAAATTATAAAAAATGTATTAGAATGTCTTCTAACATAATTTTAAATATTTATAAAATTATTTATCTACTTCATTGCACTACCAACTTCTGACTCAAATTATAAAATTAATTAATTCAGATTCTATATTATTAAAAAATTTATACATAATGTAATACTAACTTCTGAATCAAATTAAATATTATAACTAACTTCTAAATCAAATTATAATTTATAATTAAGTTAGTTAGTATTATATTATTAATGATATACAGTCTTAATAATAATTTTCCTTAATTTTCTTAAAGACTTCAATGTAAATTAAAACAATACAGTCCCAGTTCTAGTTTTAAAAGTAGAATTAAAAAATAAATAAATACTTCAAGTTTCAAAACTTCTTAACAAACAATATCCCCAGCTTGAGTATGGCCATAAATGTTTATTAAAATAACTTTAAAAATCCATTTAGCATTACGTGCTTGGCTCTAGTCACAAAAATGTTCCAAAATCACAAATTAAAGCCGTTATTATTTCCATACATTATTGACATTCCCCCGCGTCAAGGGTTAGAAAATAAAAGAAAATCCAAAGGAATTATTTAGAAGCACATATGTGCGTGCCTAAGCCATTTTTGGCCATCAAAATAAATTGTTTAATACGGGAAATAACCATATATATAATATAATATACACATCTTTTGTGCCAAGTACTTTTTACTCAAAGAAAATATGTATATATACACCCGCTTACGTATTTTGTACATATTTTAAAATATATTACGTATACGCCCCATGATTTCCTACTCCACTAGCCCCAGGGCATAACGTAAGCATATCTGAGCCTGAAAGTAAGGCACGTCGGCATACGAATGTCACAGAACAAGCTTGGTGAATAGAGTGACAGGTGGTACACTTGGGCATTGCGAATGGTTTGCGGAGTTTACCTAATAAATGCATTAAATCGAAATCAAAAAACAAGAAAAATGTATGAAAATAAAGGGGAAAGAGGCTTAACATTAAAGAGCTTTTAAATTTGGAAAATAAAATCTTTTTCAGCTTCTTTGTTTGCTTTAAATATTTATTTATTATGTAAACCTTGTATAAATATATTATACTAGATAAAATTAATTTTGATAATCGATAAATCGAATCTATTTGATATCGAAAAAGAAGTATGGTCAAAGGAGAAAATACGTAAATTTAAATTGTTATAATTATATATATTATTTATCATTTTTTATTAATGATTTTCTTTTCAGCATTTCAGGCTGAGGCTGAGGCAGCTCCGCTTAACCATCGACTTATCGATCACAGCGGCGGAGTTATCGGCTTTCCGGGACTAAAATGTTGCTTTCTGATTTCTATCGAGCACAATCCGTAAGCCACGTACCCACGTGCAAAGGATGAGGCGTCCAAAAAGGATCACATTGGGCACTATCATCAGCATCGAGCGCGGCCCAGACGGTGCCACTATCCCACAGAAGTTCACAATCCACCGGCAGCCTGAGACTCCTCCGGCTGCTGGCCGTTGTCTCAGTAATTGGATCGCAGTTTCATGCCGTTCTATGTGAGTGTTTTTGGACATTAAATCTCTAAAAAAAATATTTAAGAATAATATCTAATAAAATAATAAAAATATTTAGTAGAGAGTAATGTTAGATATCAAACTTAATAATATTTGTATTAAAGAGTAACTAAATATAATACAAATAATAAGATCTAATAGGATTTTATTCTTAATAATATTTTTATTATATTTATTTACTCTCTAAAAATAATATTAATATGAATAATATCTAATATTAATCCTCTAATAAATGTTTATTATATTATTTTCTCTGAAAGTTTTGAACCCTTTTTATCAATTATTTCTAAAACTGAGAAGTTTTACTATTTTTAATTGCTTAAATTAGTGTTATTTGGTCCCCAATGAAAGTTTCTAATTACAAATTAATGTTAAGATTAGCGAGACATTTTAGCTAAAAAAAATTGAATTTTTTTTTAAATTAAATTTAAAAAAAAGAGTTTTTATAAATTTAAATTTTATTCATTTATTTTATTATTAAATATTAAATTCTCTAAAGGAATTTACAATTTATTGTTAAGATTAACGAGACATTCAAGCTAAAAAAATTGATTTTTTTTAAATTAAATAAAAAAAAAAATTGTTTATAAAATTAAATTTTAATCATTTATTTTATTATTAAATATTAAATTCTCTAAAGGAACATAAGCATACAGTAAAATATATAATATAATATATAATATTATATAATCTCTTTCTTATTATATTATTTATATAAATTTTAAAAATATATTAATATTATTTAAAACAAATTAAAAGTATTAGAGGTAGGAATACATTACTTTAGCCATTATCCTTGATTGTATTCTCCTTCTTATTATTATTTAAAAATATATTTATATTAATTAAAATAATTAAACCTTCTAAAAGGGAAGAATGCATTACTTTAGGAACTATTCTTGATTGTTTTCTCTTTCCTAATATATTATTTTAATATATATTTATATTATTTTAAATGAATTAAAAAAATTAAAAGAAAGAATACATTACTTTATCCATTAGCCTTGCAATAAACACATGCTCACAAATGAAAATAACCAGTTAACTCAACCGTGAAACATAAAATATCATCATTATCGACCATTCCGTTCGCAGGCATTGCATCCGTTGAACCCACAGCAGCGGGAGCGGCAGCCACAACCAGCTCGCAGCAGCAGCATTCCAGCGGCGCCGGCGAGAATCACAGCTTCTTTTTTGATGACTATAACACAACGAAGACGACTTCATCAACCGCCGGGGGCTATCCGGCGACAGGAGCTAGCGCCAGCACGGCCGCTCTCTCATCCCCAACCCAGGACCAATACCAATCCCACTCCCAGTCCCAGTCCCAATCCCAGTCCCAAATGCCGGCCGAAGAAGCGTCGGCGACGGCGTTAGACTTATCGCACTTCGCCATTAACCCGGGCGTGCGGCTGGACAGGGCTTCCGTTAAGGCGGCGGCGGGCAGCAATGAGATTAGCAATAGCACGCCAATCAAAAATTTAATTACTAGCTTTGGGCGCCCCGCTTTGATGGCGGACGACCAGCAGCAGCAGCAGCTGGTGATGCCTGGAGCGACGGCAACCGCTGCTGTGGCAGTGGCTTCTGCCACAACAACGACAACAACAACCCTGGCGGCAACCCTAAAAAGTGCCAAGAGCACCATAAAGCAACCCATCGATTCCACGCGCTCCAGGAACCATTGGACAGTGGGTGTGGGTGGTGGCGGTAAGTCAAACGATGGTGGGGCCAAGGCCAATGTCAAAGCCTAATTTACACTCGAAAAAGTAAGAGGTGTCTATGAAAATATTTTTTAAAAAATATAAGAAGGGTATGAGAAATAATTTTAGGTATTTTTGAGACTTTTATAGAAAAAATCGGTAATTTTAATAGGTTTTTGGATTTTTTTAAAGTAAAAATTATCGAACTTAATGTTTAAATTTTTATATTATCAAAGAATATCCTTAAAATGTATATATATAAAATATTTTAAATATATAAAATATAAAAAGTATATAAAAAATTTAAAATATATGAAAAATACAAGATTTCTAAAATATAAAAAGTAAAAAAAATATATAAAATATACAACAAGTTTAGTAACCCTTTTTAGGCATTGCCAATCAGAATACTTCCCTTTTTTTTCCAGTGCCCTGTTAATATTTTCTGAATCCTCATTACACGCTCTCTCTCTCTCCCTCTCCGCAGGATCCGCTGCTCGTGACACGGAACGTCCCCGCACCTTCCGCAGCAAGCACCACCATGAGCACCACTGGGGGCCATTCTTCGAGGAGCCCGTCAACGCGGGCGCCTCGGGCGAGAATCTCGTTTCCGCCGTGCACTTGTTTACGGAAGCGGTGCTCAACTGCCGCGTTGGCATGCTCAAGGACAAGACGGTGGGTCTTCGAGGATTATTATTATTAAATCCTGATAGAATATACATGAATACATATATATCCACTTCTACCAGGTCATGTGGGTGAGACGGACCAGCGAAAAGGTATCCCTGCTGACCGTTGGCAACGTCACCTACAGCGGCGACCCCAGGATACGGGTCAAGTTTCAATATCCGAACAACTGGCGGCTACTGATTAATCCCACGCAGACTGAGGACGCCGGTATATACATGTGTCAGGTTTCCACTCATCCGCCGCGGGTGTTCACCACGAACTTGACCATTTTGGGTGGGTCCTAATCCCTAGAAGAAGCCTTTAATATAATTTTTTAACTTGAATTTTCACAGAACCCCCGCTAAGGATAATCGATGAGCATGAACGGGATGTGGGGGATCGGTACTACAAATCCGGCAGCACCGTCGATCTGCAGTGCCAAATATCGCGTAACTTTTTCCTCAAGGAACGCTACACCATCCTCAAGTCAACCGAAACCACAAAGGGAGGAGGTGACGTCCACAAACTATATAACGAATCGAGCGGCGAGCCAAATCTGGTGGGCAATGCCAGCCAGCTGGCGCAGCTGAAGCTGTCGGGCCTGGAGCTGGAGAAGTACTTTAGTAAATTTATAACCTGGACAAAGGATGAGGAGCCGCTCCAGGGACTGACCAACAAGCGATCAAGGTAAATATATAATATTTAATAATTATTATTTTTATAATTGATATTTAATATTTATTATGTTTATAATAAATTTATAATATTTTATTATTTATTTTATAATTTATTAATTTTTAAATAAATTTATAATATTTTATTATTTATTTTATATTTTATTTATTTTTAAATATAATTTATATTTAATATTTATTATATTTATAATTTATATTTAATATTTATTATAATTATAATTAATATTTGATTTAATAATATTTAAAAATATTAAACTTAAATTTAATAAATTAATATTATATTGATAGTTAATATTATATTTATAACAAATATTTAATATATAAATAATATTTAACTTTTTTTTATTTACAATTAATATTAAATATTTAATATATTTATAATTAATATTTAATATTTATTATATTTTTTATTTTATATTTAATATTTATTATATTTTTAATTAACTTTGATGTAATAATATTTAATAATATGAAAAACTAAATTTAAGAAATTAATATTTATTTTATAATTAGTTTTTAATATTAATTATATTTAAATTTAACATTTAATATTTATTAAATTCCCCTCTAAATTTCAGCATTTCCGATAAATGGCTTACCAGTCGCATTTCCATTGAAGATGCCAAGCTCTCGGATAGTGGCAACTATTCCTGTTCCCTTGGCCGACTGTTTACTGTAATTGTCCAAGTACAGGTACTCACAGGTACGAATTCCTTTAACTATTTATTATATTTTTAAAACCTCTTACTAATTCTTTTATCTATATCTTTTTAGGGGAACTACCCGCGGCTGTCCAACACAACATAGCATCCAGAATCCAAAATTCACCTGCTGGACTCTTGGTTATTCTCCTGTTCGTCCATATTTCTCTACACTTGGCGAAAAACTGAAGGACTTTAAATGTGACAAATGTTTGACATCAAGACAACATATTGAGGCCATTTTCACAAATCATTTACGTAGTAAATGTTTGCGATAAAGGGCCCATCTGGGGTGTAAAAAAAAAGAATTTAAAGTCGGTTACAAGAAGGAGATTTTCAGAAAAAAGGGTAATTTTTTTTCTAGTTAAAATTAAAATTAAAAAAGTTTAAAGTCAGTATGAGAAAGAGCTACAGTTTGAATTTATTTATAATTTTCTTTATATTTTTCCTGAAAACCTAACTCTATTTGTTTAATTTAAAATTTTTGAAGAAGAAAAACAACAGCTGGTATATTCCTGTTTTTAAAGGACCCTACTTTTTAGGTAGAACTGCAGCCATATTTAATAAAATAAACAAAGCTGGAACCTTTTTATATAATAAACAAGGTTTATTCAAAACAAAAGACTCTAATTAAACCGGAAACTGTAGCGCTTTCTCATATTGGTTTTCCTTTAAAATCGCTCAAACCGATTTTCGGGAAAGTCCCCTTCCTGTAACCAACTAAGAAATTTAACTCAATGCCCTAATTTTTTTTTGTGAACCTTTCACTAATGTATCTGAGTAAGATATCGAAAATAACAAACCCAAAATGCCAAACAGAGAAATGGGTTTCCTTTTACGAAATACAATTTGGCCTTATTTCCTTCTGAATCCTTTTAAAACACCATCTTCCCGCTTGTTTCTCTGTATCGGAATTTATAATTTAGTATTGTGAAATTTTTCTAAGATCCAAATCGAAACTAAAACTACAACCACAATTTTGTATAAAGTCCACAATATATCAGTTATATAAAAAAAAATAAATAAAAAAAATATGAAAAAAAAATCGCCCGCCAAAAACTTAAAAACTACTTTAAACATAATTAATTTATTTCGTAAAAATAAAATATACAAAATTAAGATATGAAAGATTTACAAATTCAGTGAGCTTAAAATATATAGTTTTTCCCTTTGTATTTTCTAAGTTAGAAAATGTATAAAAAATTGTATGACTTGCGTTTGATAGTTCTGTAAATATAAATATAATATTTGTAAGTTACGAATGTAGTTATATTTTCCCTTCCGTTTCACATTGTTCTTCGGAGCCCCAACCATGTTGATTATACATTAAGTTTTTAATTATATACATATGTACGTGGTATTATTTGGGAGGCAGTCTACTAGGATCAATGCATACGATGCCTGCCTGCGAAAAGAAAAACGTTTTGTTAAAACTACACTCAATGTATTATTATTAAACGAGTAAATCAAAAACGATACTTTCAAATATACGAACCATTAATATATATATAAACTATAGTAAGTATAGCATGCTTTTATTTTTCGCCGTTCTAAGGAATTATAAAGGAATATTTTCATATTTTTAAAGCTACCTGCAAAATATTTAAATAAAAGCGCTTGTCTGTAGTTATCGATAGAAACCGCAATTTGAACTTAACCGTGCCACGAACCAGTTCCTCTCGGAAGCTCAAGCAGGGCTTGCATTTCCGCTCTCTCTCTCTCTCTCTCTCAAGAATTGCATTATGGCAACTTACTTTAACTTAACATGGTTAATATTTATGATATTTATTTGATTTTTAAGAATATTGATCCAACTAGGAGTTAGTCTCTGCCTAACAAAGCTTCTGGTGCTGATTTCTTTAGCATTTTCCTCAACCAAAACAAAAAACAGCTGCCACGGCCTGTGCCTGCCTATCGCTTATCGATAAGAAGCATTATCGCCCACTGGTTCACTCGATCTAGTTCCATCGCGAACTACACAATTATTATTTATAGGCCACATTTTTTTGTTTTCTTTTAACGTTAACATTTCGTTTGGATCTTATTATTTTAGTTTTTTGATAACACCAACGACATATAGAGTGAGTGCGTGCGACCGCCTGCCCCTGTAAATTGCGTGCGAATATGTGCTTTTTGTTCGGTGCAGATATAGAAATATGTACATATTTGTTTTTGGAACTTTGATGGTGGGAAGGACAATGTTAAGCACCTCCTTACCACCTCCTCCTCCTTCTCCTCCACCAACTGCCGGCGCACTTGCACTGGCAAGTGTGACTCTGACTTCACCTTGACTAAAGTTCACGCGACCAGGCGGTGGCTGCGGCAGCGGGCGGCACAATGGGAACGTAATGATAACAGTGACACCGACACCGCTAACCAGTCGCCCGATTCTTTGCAGTTTCCGTCGCACAATCACTGCCTCCGCCTCCTGCTCCCTGCATCGCTGCACAATTCGGCCGAGATCTCCGCATCGAAAAATGTTGAAGCTACGTAACCTCCTAGCCATCGGCGGCAACAACAGCAACCACGGCAGCGGACTGCTGGCTGTCCGGTAAGGCAAACAACACACAACATGCATATTCGAAACAGCCACAGCTGTGTCTGTGTGTGTGTGTGTGTGTGTGTATATATATACCCCGTATATATATATTATATGTATTTCATATATGGAGAACAACATAAGGTCGATTCCATAGAAGATATAGGGCAGTGTCATTATTTTTATGATTAACTTGGACGATTTTTAAGGTTATTTTTACTGATTTTGAGATGAAATAATATAACAAGGTTGTTTATTATTTATTTATCAAGACTTAAGTATAATTTTTGTATAAAAACTAATACTTTTTGATATGTTTCAACCTATTATTTTTATCACAGAAGGTTTTAGACTATTTTAGATCCTGAAAAATATATCTCAGCCAACTAGTTTATCCGTGTAATATTAATAATTAAAAAATTATCCTTTTATTTAACTTGAACTAACTAACTTTAACTTTAAATGTAATTTATATATTTAAAATATTAATTTTTATATTTTTAAAATATTAATATTATTGAAATAAATCCTATTTGACGTCGTAAATATAATTTATATATTTAAAATATTAATAATAATATTTCTAAAATACCTTAAATTTATATATTCTAAATATTAATATTATTATTTATCAAATTAATAATATTTTATAAATATTTTTATTAATATTTTATAAATATTTTTATTAATATTTTAAATGAATATTCTTTAATTAACCTAACATAAATATAATAAATATATTTAAAAAAATATATATATAAATTAATATTAATTAATTGTATTAATAATTATCAATATTTTACAAATATTTGACCTCATAATTATACTAATCTATATATTTAAAATATTAATATTTCTAAAATACCTTCTATTTGACCTCATAATTATAATTTATATATTTAAAAAATTAATATCTATATTTATATAATTATTGGTATTTTATGAATATTGATATTAATATTTTAAATACGATTTTAAATTAACCTCTTAACCATAATTTATATATTTAAATTTTGTAATATTTTTCACCCTTTTAAAATATATCTTCCATATCCACGTATGCAAAGGTTGCCTAATTAAAAAATATATATATATTCAATCTCTGGCCAGATATGAGAACCTAAATACACATATATATAAATATCTGTTCGATAAAGATAAGATTATTATTAAAAAAAAAAAAATAAAGAAATAAGAACGGTAGAGATTGCCTAAAAATAATCAAAGTTATAAGCTTATCTGGCTCAGAGTTTAAAATCCATATTCTTTTATTTTCCCTCGCCCCCTCCCAGTGCTCTGTCCACCACGGCTAGCTGCAAGGATTCGGAATCATGGTTCTCAAAGCTGCTCGTCCGGAAAATAGAGCCAACCAAGGAGCCGCACAGCCGCATGCTGAGCGACAAGGAAATTATCTATGCCCTGCATACCCACAATGTCAGGCCCGATTCCATGAGCAACTACCTAAACAACTAGTGGGTATAACTAGCTACTTTAAAAAAAAATTAAAATTAAGCAATTATTTTAAACCTTTTTCCTTTTTATTTTAACTTTAGCAAAACGACGGTGGCTTTAATCAACGATAAAAAGGCAAATCTCTCCTGCGATTTGGTGGCCTCTTGGACCGTCCAGGTGGGCGATATGGATCAGTGCCTGCATCTGTGGAAGTACACCGGTGGCTTTGAGAAAATCGATCAGGCCAAGGAGGATCTGTGGAACGATCCAGAGTATCTCAGCCTGATGCACGAACGCTCCAAGTTCCTGCGCTCCCGCCATTTGCAATATCTCCTGGCCTTCAGCTACTGGCCACAGATTGCCAGTCGTCCCGGCAAGAATATTTACGAAATGCGGTATGTTATATTATATTCTATGTTACATATGTAGTTATTGTTATATTTACTTTAAATATATTGAATTCTAGATCCTATCGACTGACCCCTGGCACCATGATCGAGTGGGGCAACAACTGGGCCCGGGCCATTAACTATCGCAAGCATAACAACGAGGCATTTGCCGGTTTCTTCTCGCAGATTGGGCGACTCTACAATGTCCATCATATTTGGTGTATGTACAGCCTTTTATAATTATTTATAATTATTATTATTTTTTTTAATTTTATAATTATTTACAATTTTATAATTATAATTTTATAATTATTTATACTTGTATAATTATTTATAATTTCATAATTAATAATTTAATAATTATTTTTAATTTTATAATTATTTTTAATTTATGATTTTATAAATATTTACAATTTTATAATTATTTATAATTTTATTATCAATTATAATTTTATAATTATTTACAATTTCATAATTAATTATAATTATTTATAATTGTATCATTAATTATAATTGTATCATTATTTATAATTTTTTTAATATAATATTATAATTACTTTTAATTTTATAAGTATTTGTAGTTTTATAAATATTTATAATTTTATAATTATTTTTAATTATATTATAATTATTTATAATTAATAATTCTATAATTATTTACAATTTTATAATTATTTATAATTTTACATTTATTGGACACAGGTTACAAATCTCTGCAGGACCGCAAGGAGACCAGGGAGGCTTCCTGGCGCACTCCCGGCTGGGATGAGTGTGTGGCCTACACAGTGCCCCTGATCCGGGACATGCACTGCCGCGTCCTAGCCCCCACTGAGTTCTCGCCCACACAATAAGCAAAAAAAAAAAAAAAAAAACGGTGCACTGTTTCGATTTTTCGCAATCCAAAAAAAAAGAAGATAATCGAAACTTGCTGTCGCGAGTTTATGTACATAATGCCAGCCACCCATTTAATCATCTTAGTGTTCTCTTAGTATAAATTAAGGTCAAAGTGGACATACATATTTCTCCTAAATTTGTACATGCCTCCGGAACTATATTATGATCGATCTATGTAAGCACAATGTTTGAATTTAACCCAAAAAGATGAAAAGAAACAAGAGTCTTTTTTGTTGTTAGCATAAAGAAATAAAGCTATTATGAAACTGTTACATAAAGCAGAGCTATGCAAGTAAAAAAAGAAAGAAATTTTAATTTAAAGAGTTGCAAAATTTGGGAGGAATTTAAAAATAGGAAGTATCAGTTTGGAATCAGAAGCAGATTCTATACTGGTTGAGTTTTGGAATTTATTTACTTGAAAAGTCTTATAAATTAAGCAAGCCTTTGAGATAAATTTATTAATTTAAAAATTAATGGTGGACATTTGTTAGGCACTTTTCTCCGCCTGCTCCGAGTTCTTCGCCGTCTTCAGATGCTTCTTGCCCACGAGATGTTGCTGCAAGCTTGTCACATGGTTCATCATCTTGTTGCAGGGCTTGCAGTAGTACTGACCAGTGGGTGTGCGATGCATGAGGAGATCCAAGCCCTCGGCATTCTCGGTAGCCTGAGAAGCTGAAGCTGCAGATGATGATACATCCGGTGGCTCCTTTTGTCCAGCATTGCGAAGTTTGCTCTGGTGGCGAGCCCCTTTCAAATGCATCTCCATCTGATTGGCGGATGTTACGGATATATTGCATAGACTGCACGAACATTCCGTGTCCTCGGCAGTTTGCTTTGGTGCTCCTCCAACTGCTGGTACTCCTTCAACCGCCCCTCCAGCTGCTGCCCCTGTTGCTTCCTCTTCAGCTGACCTAGTCTCAGTCTTATGGAACAGCGCCCCGATGCCATACCGCCCGTCCGGGCTAACCTTCACCTCGAACTTGCATCCCATTCGCACCCACTTGCCGGCGGCATCGTAGTAACCGGCACCCGAGGGTCGCGAGCCCTTTTGCTCCACCAGCTTGTGCTTCCGTCCCGAATAGTGTTGACTGGCATGAGCGGCCGAGTTGAGATCCAGATCGCAGAGGTCACAGTGAAAGGCATTGGGGCCGGTGGGACTTCGCTTCAGGAACCGCTTAACCGGAGGCGCCTCCAGGCCTGCGTCCGTGTAGTTCTTGGCCAGCCAAGCGCTGATATGGCGATCATGAGCCCTGGACTCGTAATGGTCGCGGGCAGAAATCATCGAAGTCATCTGCACCGAGCACAGCTTGCAGGACAGTGGTCCGATTAGCTGGTTCAGCCCGTCCGGATAGCTCTTGTCGCGACCGGGAAACAGTTCCAGGTCCTTGCCATTGCCATCATCCAAACTGGTGGCTATCTCTCCATTGGCCTTTCGCTTCGGTGGCCTCGTACTTGCCGTTGGCTCGCCACCAGGTTTGCCGGGTGCCAGGAACCGTGGTTTGTCGGTTCCGCCGAATACCGGCGGTGGCGTTGGAGAAGCTCTCAGGGACTGGTCGTCCGGGACGCCACTTGCAGTGGCTCCTGGCGCCAGGTGGGGTATGTGATAGCCGCTGAGATTACCGGAGGAAGTCATGGAACTTCGCAGCTGCATGTGTTCCCAATAAAGGCGGACGCATGCGTCAAACCAAAAACTTGAAAAAAAGAGCCAAGATTTTAACCGATTCGGTATTTTATAGTATTCGCCATAATATTAAAAAAATACTGCACTTTGAAATTGCCAAAAAAAAGCTTATAAATATAACGAAATTATTAATATATTAATTTGTTAAATTTGTATTATTTATATATAATTATTTAAAGTTAAAAATGGCAAAAATGAATGTTTTAAAAGTGTTCTACAAAGACTTGTATAACAGTCTTGGCGCTAAACGTTGGCTTTAGCACCTTCTTCGAGCAGCCGGGCTGGTCACACTGGCACCCTGTGGCGAGCACATTGAACGTAAAAAATAATAATAACAACAATAAATTGCAAATATTCATAAACATGCATAGACGCCGTACACCCAAGACACTGAGCAAACCGCCGCCCATTCAAGGTCCTCCCAAAAAGACCATTCCCGAGGCAGAACCAGCACAGAACCCAGCACCGTCGACGCCCGACGGCGTGCAGTTCGAACTGGAGCTGTGCTGGTGCGTCCAGCAGCTGCAGGATGCCCTCAACGGCGGCAAACTGAGCCAGAAACTGGGTAGGCAAAGCCTTTATCCTTTCCCCACCAGCCAATAAACTCATCTGGCACCTCCATTTCAGCCGAAGACACCGCCAAGAACCTGAAGATCCTCACCAGTTCGACGGCGCCGCTGATCAGGAAGCGGCAGGTGATGAAGCAATCCATGGGCGACTACCGAGCCAAGATGCAGCAGGAGGAGAAGAAGCTGATGTTGGGTAAGAGGACAGCCTTTTTAAAGAAATTTGCCTAATAAACTTTAAAATATTTCCCATTTTTAGCTTCTAAGCAGGTGAAATTCACACCTGCCGCTGCAGCTCCAAAGAAATCAAGCTTCGTGAAGAAGTCGGCGCTGTTGACTACAGGCAAAGATTTCCGCTTCGACTTTGCCTTGCCAGCCGACACAAATGAGAACAGCGGCGTCTCCGCATCCCAGCCAGTTCAGACTTCCAGCTTGCCACAAAGCAGCGCTGGAACACCCTTCAAGTTCAATTTCACCATTGAGGAGGAGTCGGCGAACAACCTTAACTTAAGCGGCCTGATGCTAACGTAGAAAATAATAATAAATAGTAATGATCCAGCTTATCCAGTGAAAATTTATCCAAATTGCAAGAAGGCCATGGCCGAGCTCTGGTGAGTTGTTTTCCCCCAACCTGAGGAGCCTCTGGGTTTTCCTTTCCAGCAGCTGGTCGGTCCAGTTTGGTACGGCCTCAGTTTAGTTTCACCGTTCATACAGAACACAACACAGCCTCAACATTAGTTTTGTTATTTTCCTAATCAGAGTCCAAAACTTTCGTACCCTCGTTTCCCTCTCTATATTTTCGTACTCATTTCTACGTAATCGCGTCAAAATTATGTATATTATCACATTGAAGACCCTCAGCGAGAAGCAGAGGAATGAGGTACTCGAGTGGCTGCGCGAGAACAAGGCGGACTCCGTGCAAGTGCGCCGCAAGTTCTCCGATGTCTACCCCCTGGCGGAGCTCCTGCAGCCCGACTTTCCCCGACTCATCGATCTGGTCAACTACCCGAAGCGGAACGGCATCAACCTGAAAATACAGAACTGGGAGACTTTCAATTTCAAAGTCCTCTCCAAGTTTAACACGATGCTGGGCAAGGAGTTCATAGAGGAGCTGGCCAAGGGCAACCAGTGCGCCGTCGAAATTCTGATTTACGAGATGCTGCGTCTCCGGAAGCAGCAAGTGTCGAAGCGACAGGAGCAGAACGCAGCGTCTGAGAAAGAGAAAGAGGTGGAAGTGGAGCAGCAGGAAGAGATCAAGACCAAGGAGAACGAAGAGATCACAGTGGTGTATCAAAACGAAGAGCTCAAGCAAAACGAAGAGGTCGAAGTCGTGGAGCAACACGAAGATCCCAAGATCTTGGAGCAAAACGAAGATGTCAAGACCTTGGACCAGAACGAAGATGTCAAGACCTTGAAGCAGAACCAAGAGGAGGCTTTGTCAGAGGCAACAGACACAGTGGACACCCTTGACAAAGGTAAGGTGACCTCCAGGATGATCTTATACGCTCGCTACCAGGAGCTTTCTCGCGAGTGCCAGGCCAAGTGGAGCATGATCCGCATGTACGAGAACCACGTGATCCACCTCGAGACTTTGCTCCAGAGCAGGGAGAAGGAAATCGAAGAGATGCGGCAAGTAATTCGGGGCCTGCAAGGCACGCCCCTTTAGCAAGGCCAAAAGCTTGGACCAACATTCATTTATTACGGATTACCGTTGTAATCCCCAAGTTTTTAAAGGGACGATCGGTGAAGGGAGAAGCCTGATGCATGGATCCTCTCTGGCCAAGCCTGTGAACCACTGCCGAGGCCAAGGGCAACCGATAATCCCTTTTGTTACTTACAAAAATAAATAAATTGAAGTCAGTCTTAGATAATTGGTCTTTTAGATATGATAAAGGGCTTCCTGGGCTTGCTTTTTGTCTCTAAAAATAAATTTTAAATCGTTTTGGGTTTTTTAGTATTCTTTAGATTCAAAGACCGCGCTCTGCTCGCCGTTTTGGTATTTTCGTGCATGAGGTTTTGTAATATCGATATCGATTATATATAAATATCGATTTTGGGGACACCTGGATTTTTTAGGTGGAAAGCCAAATTTTCCAAACGGTCCCATCCTTAGTTGTTTCCCACGGTCCCAAGTTTTGATTTTTTTTCTCTCTGAATGCACCACACACAAAGAAAATGCTGAAAAGTGCCGACAAAGTGAAGGAAAAGTCAAGTGTCTGAGTGCCAGATTAGCCGAGACGTTTTTCCGCCCCGCGGAAAGCGAGCAAGTCCGGGAAACTCCAGAGGAGAGGAGGAGAAGCAGCAGCAGAAGGAGAAGGAGAGGAAGAAGCTGGAAAAAGAGGAGTAGGAGTAGAAGGAGGAGGAGTAGCGGCCACAATGACCACCCAGCGAACACAGACCCAGACGAGGAGTGCCAACAATTCCGACTCCGACTATGAGACGCTGATGCAACGCCTCCATATCGGCGCAGGAGGAGGCGGTGGCGTCGGCGCAGCTGCCGGGGGCGTGGCTATGAGAAACTACCAACGCTCGCCGGGCGCCATCGAGCACTTTCTGCAGGATGGACAGCAGCAACAGATGCTGATGCAGCAGCAGCAGCAGTCACTGCATCATCAGGACTACAAGCTATATGAGCGCGGCAACATCATTGCCGCCTCCAAGTACGCCACACCCCGGCCCGTGGAGCAGGTGATGATGGGCCACAGTCACAGTCACAACGGTAGTGCCCACATTTATGCGCCCACCGCCCAGGTTCTGGGCCAGCGGATTGCACCCCAAAAGCACTCGCCCGTGTATGAGAACCTCGAGTTCTATGGCCAGTTTGATTCCAATCACAAACGCGCCCAGCCCCAGAGTCCTGGCAGCCGGCAGAGCGCCATGCTCAATGACTACCTGCTGATGCAGCCCATTGGCGGCGGACGCTTTGCCCACACACCAGTCCCAGGGGAGAATTCGGGCGGAGCTAGGAGTGCCGGAGCGGGAGCAGCCTCAGCAACTGCAGGAGGCAGATCCATTGCTCTGGGACCCACTGGCGATCTCGAGGAGCATGCGGCACCCATCTATGAGAACATCATTCCGCATTCGGGACAGCGTGCCCAGCCGCAGGCATCGCCGGCCACTGCCACCATGTACCAGGAGATGCAGCCGGCAGGCAATTCGTCTGGCGGCTCGTCGGCATCCACCTCTGGCCTGGATCTCAATGCTCTGCTCGCCTCACCCATGCACCAGCGCAGCATTAGCAGCAATACGGCCAGCACCAGCGGCGGCGGCGGCGGCTCCCTGGGCTCGCCCACGCAACGGTATAGGAACCTATCGCTGCCCAGTCACCTCAGTCCCGTGCCGCCACCCGCATCACAGTCATCGGTGGCCAAGCTGCAGCAGCACACGCCCATCAAGTCGCCAATTAGCCAAGTTGGTGGCGCCATTAATGTCTCGGTGAATCCCAACTACATCGAGGACATTAACAGCTCCGATTATGTGTGCATGACCGCCAATCTGCATCGGAATACAGCGGCGGGTTTGGCCACGGGTCGAGCAGCGGCCACAGGAGCAATGCCTCAGCGAACTGTCCAGGAACCGGCCATGATAACCACTTCATCTTCAGCGGGAGCAGCAGCAGCGGCGTCGGCAACAGCAACAGCCATGGTCACCTCAATAGCACCAAGCACGACGGCTGCAGCAGCAGCAGCACCAATACCCGCCACCGGATCCCTGAGAGCCACGCCCATAGCTATGACCGCTCCCCTGGCGGTGGCCACATCGCCCACGCCCTCGCAGGGCAGTACAGGTGAGGGAGCTAAAAGATTACAGACTAAAATTCAAGTTTTTTATATCAAGGAAGTCTTGAATTCTGTTTGGAATAAACTATTCAATCTTAATCTTAATCTTGATATATATTTTACCCTTAAAACCATGCTTGCACGCAGCGGTGAATGCCGCCCTGCGACCCAGGAGAGGTAGGCGGGGTAAAGCTTCGTTTCCCGAAAGGGTTTGGGGGACCTGATTTCTGGTGAAGTGTTCCTTTGATTTTTACCTGAACTGAGATTCTGGGAAACGAAAACATTAAAATGCCTTTAAAAATTCCTTTGTCCCCCATATATAAATTTTATTTTTTAATTTTATTATTAATTTCAAACAAATTTCCAACATATTAATTTCTAAAATATTTCTCACATATATTTTTTGTTTTTTTTTTATGAATTTTCTGACTCACCTGCACCCGATGACCTAATAATACCTCTTAATTCATTTGCAAACAGGTCTCACCAAGAATCTGCTGCCGTATAGCGTCACCCCGCCGCGTCCGGCTGGTCCGACGGAGGCCCAGCGGAAGATCGAGGAGCTAACCCGGCAGCTGGAAGAGGAGATTGAGCAGAGCGAGGAGCATGGCGAATATTTTGGTAAATAAAAAACCAAACAATATTTAAAACAAATCACTAATTAAAATATGATATATTTCCAGGCATTTGTCACACCTGCGGCGAGAAGGTAAAGGGTGCTGGACAGGCCTGCCAGGCCATGGGTAATCTCTACCACACCAATTGCTTCATTTGCTGCTCCTGCGGACGAGCGCTGAGGGGCAAGGCCTTTTACAATGTGCATGGCCGGGTGTATTGCGAGGAGGATTATATGGTAGGGAGCCAGGATAAACAAACATCACAAGCACACAATAATTATTTATCCCCCTCCTGACAGTATTCGGGCTTCCAGCAGACGGCGGAAAAGTGCGCCATTTGTGGCCACCTGATCATGGAGATGGTACGTACTGCTCTCTCCCTCTCCCTCTCCCATCCCGCTCTATTTGAGGCCTATCCCTCTGCTCTTCTTGTTTAGATCCTGCAGGCCATGGGCAAGTCGTATCACCCGGGCTGCTTCCGGTGCTGTGTGTGCAATGAGTGCTTGGACGGTGTGCCCTTTACCGTGGATGTGGATCACAAGATTTACTGCGTCAACGATTACCATCGAATGTTTGCGCCCAAATGTGCCAGCTGTGGCAAAGGTGGGTCTTGTATACTCCTCTCTGCAGTTTTGGGAACATTTCTAATATTAGTTTTGTGTTTTTTTTAGGCATCACACCCGTCGAGGGCACCGACGAAACGGTACGCGTGGTCTCCATGGACAAGGACTTTCATGTGGACTGCTACATCTGCGAGGAGTGCGGCATGCAGCTAACCGATGAGCCGGACAAGCGCTGCTATCCGCTGGACGGACGCCTGCTCTGTCGCGGCTGCCATTTGCAGCGTTTGGCCCTGCAATCCTCGCCGCATGCCCGCCACCAGGAGCCCGTCTGCGCCTCGTACCAGTACATGGGATGAAGCGGCAACTCCCCGACTGAAATCAGAACCCGACCCGAGCAAATCCTGGAATCGAATCTGTGTGTTCCATTTTGTATTCCAATTATCAATATTATTAACCTAAAATCAGACAGAAATGTGAGGACAAAATGCATTTATATATACGAAGTAGATCGCTTAGTGGGTTCTTGCTTCCCTCTTTTTTTTTACAGCGCATGAGAGATCTATGCAAATTAAAGAAAATGTGTAATGGGGGATTCCTCAAGTAACTGACCATACATTAATGTGTTCTGGGCCTGCTGTGGTGTTCCATAAGCTATTTGTACACATATATATATTATTTTATATATATTAGTATCCGGTGTCTCAAATATATTGCAATAAAAGTATTTTATTCGGAAGTTGTGGCAGTCTTGTTTTTAATTTCAAATATTCAAACAATTTTCCTGGCCAGAAAGACTCGCCTGATGATGATGTTCAAGGATATATATGATTTATGGGTTCAGAAATGACTCTTTTAAATGCTTCACAAGCGTTTGACTAAAATTAAAATACTTTTGCCAATTTTCAAGGAATTTCCTTTAATTTAAACCATTTTCTGTTTCAGCAAAACGTAGCAAATCATAAATAATAAAGTGAACAAAAAATTTAACTAGATAATTTCATATTATCTCTCTTCTTCGTGTGTTTACATATATATAAAGGGAAAAGGGGTCCCGGCCAGCCTTAGAGCATGAGGATCTCCAGTTGGACAAGACGCTGATTGATGGCAGCTGGCATGCGGTAGGGAACACTGGCCGCCATATTGGTGAGGGCCTTGGCCCTGCCCCGCAGATGATGGAGGACAGCCTCTCGGTTCTCATTCTGCGTGTCGTCGACGACGTTGCCACTATCCGGGCCACCGCCGCCGCGCTGCTCCAAATACTCGGCATACACAATATTCATGGCCTCCATGATGACGTCGGGCAGCACCTTGTTAATCTCCGGACCCATGCGCTTTAGATTCGTCACGCACTCGTCGACTTCGGTGGAATTGGACGGCACAAGGCGATTGTTGGTCAGGATTTCGGAGGCCAAGCGTGTCTTCCCGGCGTGAACAAGATCAAAGAACTCCATCAGACGCGCCAGTGTGGTGTATGTGATCATCACGTGGGACTGCACGTCCGTCTTGCGCTCAACCAGCGACGCATCCAGACGCTGGATGACATGCGTCAGCCGCTCTCGCATGCTGCCCGGACGCGATGGCTGATGGACCACCTGCGAGAGTAGGGAGCACACCAGACGCAGGGCCTTGTTCAGGTGGCCGGCTATATAGTAGAGCTTGATGGCCGACTCGTAGTTGCTGCGATCGGAGAGCTCGTCGCCCACCATCCCAGCCAGCGAGTACATGTCATAGTCCATGGTTTGGAACTCGGCAAAGATGCCGCCCGTGAAGCGATTGGAATTGGCCTCGTCCTCATCTCCGAATATCAGCGCCAGCATATTGTCGTCGCAGTTCTCCACGAGCAGATCGCAGACGCAGGTGAGCATGGCATTGGGGCCACGGTCCTCGGTCTTGAAGTGGCGCAGCAGATAATAGTACTGCAGGGCCTGGGCAGTGTCCGTTTTCTCAAAGCCCTTGGCATACATGACCACGAGACGCACCAGATTGAGACGCTTCATGGGCGCCGGATCATCCGGCTCGGCGCTGAGCAGGGGCTGCATCACCGACTTGGGTGTTCCCAGCAGACAGATCTCGTTCAGGGCGATGGCCATGTGAACGGCATGCATGATGTTCGAGCGAGCTAAAAACTCGATGGCAGACTCAAACTGTCCCGTAAGGATCAAGACCTGGAAATATAGCGGTCCCTTCTCCCTGGCATTGAAGTAATTCTCGCCATACTTCTCCAGTATGAGTGACTGCAGGCCTCCGTAGGTCAGCTGCTCGATGTTATAGTCGCGATTCTCCTGCTCCCGCAAAATGGAAAGCTGCATCCACAGGAAATCATCAATGGTGCGTATCAGTTCCCCATGGCCGTCGTGCGGATCACAGGCCAAGACGATGGCATAGACAGCCTTCTTGTAGGGATCACTGCAGATGCGCAGCTTGTTGTTGTAATCCAGTTTCAGTTGTCCCTCCAACTTGGCAGTTGACGATATCTCCGAGGTGCTGGTGTCCCCCAAACGCTTCAGCATCATCAGCTTGAGGAGCTCCGGGCAGGTGCCAGACTCCTTGAGGAACTGAACAGCCGCAGCCTGATCGCCGCAGCGCAGACTGTAGTAGACATGTGGCCACAGGGGCTTGCCATTGTTGTCAACATTCAGCAGGCCGGTAAGGGAGTGGCTGTGCTGGAACTCAACACCAACATAGGAGCAGACCAGATTGTAGAGGCTGGGAATGCCACCGCGCTTGGCTAGCACCAGGTTCTTCTCGGTGACAGCATTCATGTAGATCTTGTAGCGTCGCTCCAGGTAAGTGCGCGCCTTCTGTATGAACTTGGGAGCCGACTGGCGGCTCTGTATGGGATCAATGTTGCGCGACATGGGCGTTTCATTGGCCATGCAATAAAGCACATTCCACATTTCGGTGACCAGCGGATCATCAAAACTTTTGGCCAAATTAGCAAAGGTGGCCACCAAATTGGTGCGATGACCGCCCTGGATGTGTGATTCATTGTAGGAGGTGATCTCCTTGGCGTACAAAGTCTCAAAGTAACTGAGACGGGAGAAGGGAGTCGGCTCGTCGGGCAACTCGGTGGCCACCTTTTGGCGCTGCATATCGGGGAAATCCTGCTGGCTAGGACCCACCAGAGCATTGAGCAGGGATTCCTTCATATTTCCCCACTCACTGTACACGCTGCGCCACTTTTGACGCTCCACAGTGGTGGTAATCTGGAAAATGAATATGGCTTGGGACAGGAACATTAACGTTTCGTTTTGTCTAAACTCACATTGGTATTGGCCTCATCGATGACGGCCAGTATGGCGTTCTCTCGCTCGTTCTTGAGATAGCCCCGGACATCGGTGTCCTCGATGGGATCGAGCGGCTCTAGGGAATTGCTTGCGGTGAGAGACTCCAGCTTCTGGGTCAGCTTGGGCAGATCCACGCCCTTGGAGCCGAGCAGGATGTGGCTGCGAGTGGAACGAAGAGAGTCCCTGAGTCCCGTCCCCTTGGATAATGTGTATTCGCTACTTACGCCTGCAGATCATTGGTGCCGGCTTGGGTGACACGCGCGTGCAACTCGTTGGTGGCCTGCAGCACCTGCGACAAGGTGCGCTCCACGCGCGGCAGGTCTGTCTCCATCTCGGTGTCATTTGCCAGGCGCTGGGCCCGCTGCAGCAGCTCCGCCAGATCCATTGCGGATAGGAAGGAAAAGCCGGGAAAACAATGTACAAACGCGGCGCACGCGAAGCTCTGTCGCTGTGTGACCAGTCTGCGGAAAATCGCAGAAAACAGAACGCGCGGTACAAATATCGATATATAGTTCGCAGTATTTTACATTAATATTTTACAATTACAAAGGCCATTTTGCTGTGTTGTAAGAATATACAAGATGTTTAAAATAAATGAGAGCTGTCCTACAATTGCCAGTCCAAATAAAAGAACAGCGAAAACTGTTATACGGCCACCGATTGCAGTAGCAAAGAAATACTGGCATTTTTAGTGCCTTAATGGGGCAGTATAAATAAACGCACCGGCGACGGTCACTCCATTAACAATCGGCGCAAATCAAAGACGGCATATTTTTTTTACACTGCGAGGCGAGTTGTTCTGTCTCCCTCCGAGAAATACTGTGTGTGAGTGTCCGAGTGTTGTGTGTGCGAGCAGCGTGCGTGTGTATTGGCAAAGAAAATTAGCACAACAAAAGCGAAAAGGAAACGAGCAGAGGCACGCACCGTCACGCGGATAAAACTTTTCGATCGGAAGTCGCCCCCAGAAGTCAACTCGAACGACAATGTCAGCCGCCGACGTTGAAGCGCAGCAGATCCAGGAGACGAACGGAGGCAGCAAATTCGATGTGCCCGAGATAGAACTGATCATAAAGGTGAGGAAAAGTCGAAAAAAAAAATATACATATCCATACTGCATACATATATTGCGGTACGTTTTGCATACACACAATCGCTTGTGTGAGTGTGTGAGTGTGTGTGTGTGTGGTTTTCCATTTCGCTCTGCGCAAATTTCCATGCAGAGTGAAAATGCAGCAGAAGCAAAAGCAAACAAAGCCAGCGGGCAATAACAATAAACCTGGAAGAAAAAAACACACACACGAACTGCTGTTCTGCCTCCTCCTCGCCTTCGCCTTTGCCTGCTTCTTCTTTCTGGCATTTTGCAGTGTGTCACATTTGGTTAAAAAGAACAGAATATGATGTTCTCACTCTCTCCCTCGCCCCCACAAGCCCCGCTTTATCACATTGGCCACCCGTTTCACGTTCTCCGTTCCCCCGTTACCCGTTCTTTGCTGTAGTTTCTAAGCATCGCCAAAACCGGTTTCCTTTGCGCCTCTTCTTCTTCCTTGCTCCCTATCGTGCACACACAAACACACATGCACAATCTGCAGAGAACGAAAAAATTGGATATTGCAATGATCGATAAGGAACATTTTAAAATAATATTTTTAAGGAAAAGATTTGATATTCTTTTGTGTCTTATTAACTTGTTTTAAGAATTTAAGTTAAAGCTAAATCTAAATATTGTTATCTTAATAACGATAATTTTTTACAACTAGTTTATCGACAAATTACATCTAATTTCTTAGCTTTCATCAGTTTTAGAATTTTACATATTTCACAAATTCTATATCACACCTCGATTTAGTTTCTGTATTTCATAAGTAATTATTTTAAAAGCTAGAACTTTTTCATGAAGTAAATTTTGATTTGATCTTCGATCTCGAGGAGCAGGTCCCCAGTTATGATCATGTATTAATTTTTTCCTCTGTGTTGCTTATAATTTCTGTATGTGTGCCTCGGCGCAAAGTCTGCTAATTCTGGAACGTAACATATTTTCTGTGGCTCTCTTATCTGTTATAAACTTTAATCACATTTCATTGCGCCAATTGCTCAACAAATGCGGCTCCTTCGTCTTCTTCCACATACACATACATACTTCCCCGCACTCCAAGCCCCAACCACAACTCCTCCTCCCCCGGAGACCATTCCTCGCCGGTGCGATGTAGTATGTGTGAATTGGTAGGTTTTTTTTTTTATCTTTTAGTGATTTCTAAATTTCTTGACGCATACGTCATGCCCCTCCAAAAGAATCGAAGAAATAACAAAAACAGAAAAAAAACTAGCACCTACATTTGCGGTCACAATATTAGGCAGTCATAATTAAGATTCCTAAAGTAATTTAATTAATTTATAAAGGTTTCTAAGAACTATAACAAATTCCATGACTTTTGGTAATTCTTCAGAAAATAATTACTTTTCTTAAACAAAGTTATACATTTTCTATCAAATTCTTAAATATATATATATAGTTAGTTAATTATAAAAATAAAAGAATTAATTGTTAACTTGACCTATTTTTAACTAAAAATATAGAGTTAAACGAAATGATTCAACGGGAACCTTACCTTTACCTTGCCTTCATGTGAGCTATCAATTTAACCGCATTTGTAACTCGAGCATGACTCTCTCGGTTCTGTTGGTTCCCACTGTTTGCCAAAGTAATTGTAATTGTTTTCGAAACACTTTGGAGCCCTGTGCTGTTGCCGTTTCTGTTGATTCTATTGGCAAACTCGACCTGACGCTCGACGACTCAACTTAACCACTCATCCAGCCCACGCAAATGGCGGCCGCACCTCGAGTCGTCTGCCCGTGACTAATTCCCCCCTCCCCCAGCCTTCCAGTGCCCCTCCAGACCCCCATACATTACCATTATAAATTATTTTTAAACAATTCCAGTCCCAAAAAATTAAAAAAAAAAAACCCCATTGCAATGAGCAATACAATGAGAAAGGAAAAGTATTTCTTAAAACCAATTATTTGGGTTTTTTATAATGGAATACTATAGTATTTGACTAGGAATGGGGTAATGAGTGTTTGGGAAGAAGGATATAATAGGATAAGGATAAGGTATTACATTATTATTATTATTATATGGAGTGATGGTAAAAAAAAATACCTAAAGATGGTACATCCTTTCATTCCTATTTCTCACAGAGGAAGAAATAGTTGTTCTTTCTAGAAACTATTTTCTTGGCTTCTTTACACTAGAATACTATGGTGGTTGAACATCAATAAGGTCATGATGCTTGATATCATATCATATATGGATTCAACGTAAAAAGTACCTAAAGATAGTACCCTTTTTCATTACCATTTCCCAGAGAGAGGTTTTTCTTTCTAAAAACACATTTCTTGGGTTCTGTATAAAAAAATCTTATAGTATATGAAGATTAATCTGAAAATAAGTATTTATAATACCCAATGCCTGATAAAATCAAGTTCTTTAAAGCTTATATTATATATATTCAAGGTAAAAAAGTACCTAAAATGAGTACCCACTTTAATTGTCATTTCCAAATATAAAATGCAATGAGCGATGACCAAAAATTTTACTATACAAAAAGCTCCGCTCCCTTTTCCTGTTTTTGTGGGAGAAAGTGCTTGCCGCACCTGTTGACTCTTGTTGTTGTTTTACCTGAATTTTTGGCTGAAAAACTTTTCCAGAAGAGCTAACGAACAGAAGCATCTTTGACATAACTTTGCAACAAGCGACAAGCGACGCACCATCACACACACTCTCCATTCCATGGCACCCGTACATGGAGCACTACGTGAAAAGCCATTTCCATTTCCATGTCCAATTCCCAGCGAAAAAAAGTGAAAGTTCAATTTGCAGCGAGCCAGAGGAAAGCCAAGCTGGAGTTTAAGTCGAAGCGTAGCTATATGTATATATGTATATATTCCTATAGCCCCGGATCGTGGTGGCATGCCTCTCTGTTCCGCGCGTGCAGGCAACAAACAAATACAAATGTGTTTTCTTGTTTCGTTTGTTCGCTTCGAGAGGGGAAACAAAACAATCATTGAACGCTAAACAGGTTTTTCTCGTGCCCGCTTTTCCGCCTCCTTGGCTTGGCTTTGGCTTTAGCTTCAGCTTCAGCATCAGCTTTGACTTGGAAAACCAACTCCAGCTCCCAGCTCCATGTCCAAAGCCAAAGCCAAAGCCAATGCCTTAGCCGCGAGTCATCGCCCACGCTGGAGTTCCAGAAATTGGCTATGCCATCGAATCGAATCAAAACAAAGCGGCAATCAAAACAAATAGCAAACCAGAAGTGCACAGTAAATAAAATAAATAAAAAATAAAATAAAAATTGCTTTCCATTACAAGAATTCCTAAGCTTTTCTAGGAAATATATTATAATAACCATAGAGTTCTTGTTGTAAAATCTAAGAAATATCAGAGATCCGATAGAAATTCCATTATATTATTCTCAAGCTTAAATTATACTTATACTTATCTTTCTTAAAGTTTTTCCTTTGTAAAATACCATATACATTATAATATCAACCTTCTGAGGCTGGAATACTCTTTCTTTTCTACTTCTCTCATGAAAACTTGAGCTAATTTAGTGCCTTTTGTTGGGATTTTCAACAACGCCAGCAATTGTTGAGGCCCAAGTTGTGTGCCGCCTTGAGGAAAATGCGCCGCTTTGTTGCCACTTGAGCTGCATTCAAGATGAGAGCTGGAGGAGCTGAAGAGTTAGAGGAGCGGAGCTTGTACTTGAATGTGCTGATAAACACAGTGCCCAGCTCTCTCATATTAAAAGCCCTTCGGGCCATTTTTACACAGAGAACATAAAACAAACACAAGTCACTTGCTGGATTGAATGGTGTCATATGTATTTTTATACAATTGCAGGGTAATATAATTTTGGTCAGTAGCTTGAAAGCCCATGAAGGAGTCATTTCCGACCCTATAAATCATATACATATATTCTTAATCAGCATAAACAGGCGATTCTTTTTAGACATGTCGGAAAAAACATTTTTTTTTTTTAATTTTTCAAAATTTTACAAGGGGTACCCCTGTTATAATTTTCAGAAATTAACAAAAAATTTAATTTTTTAAAATATTAAATTAAGTATGTAAATTTTTTTTAACTAACAAAAACTAACATAAAACTGTTTTCCGATTTAAAATTAATGCCTTTTTGGCTAAGCTATAAACTTTTTAAACTTTAACTTTCAAATAAAAATATCGATAAATATCGATTTAAAGAATCAGAATATCTCAGGATTTCTTCGGGGAAAAGCCACCAATATTACATATATATTTCTAGTAACTATTAAAATCCTAATTAATTAGAATACAATTTTTAAAAAATAATAATGAATTTTATGATAGATTTTCCTGCAGGGTACAGAGACTCCCGTTTCCCGAAGTTAGATTCTATTTTTTTTTTTTCCTGTAATATCACGTCACTATTTT